CGTAAACCCCAAACCCTACACCCCAAGCCCCAAACCCTAAACCCCAAACCCTACACCCCAAGCCCCAAACCGTAAACCCTAAACCCCAAACCCAAAGACAAAACCCAAAACCCTATATACACCCCAAACCCCATGCCCTGAACCGTAATCCCTAAACCCTACCTGTATCCCCAAACCCTACAAATCGTAGGTTATGACCCCTTAATTAGAGGGTTTGACCCAAAAAACGGTAGGTTTTTGGATCCCAAGGTGTAACCCCCAAACCCAAACCCAAAGACAAAACCCAAACCGATCTTTTCGACTGGGAGGCGGATGGAGGCTCTGTGCGTGACAGCAACGCCCTGGGCACAGCTGTTCCTTAAATCATATCAGGGATCCTGGGGTTCCGTTAAGGGATCTACTTAGATAGTGATTCGGGGAACTGTAAACTTTTTGGCCTGATATATCAGCTCCATCTTCGAAAGTTAGAACTTTTGGGGGCCCGGTTGTTGAAGAAGAGAGTCTATAAGGGATCTATAGGGTTTAGGGTTTCGGGACTCCAATATCCCTTGATTGAGGAATAGTCCTTAAATCATAGAAGGGATCCTACTTTTTTTTTAAGGGTATGTTCCTCAGTTAAGGCATATTGGAGTCTCTGGGCTGTTGGGTGTGATTGGGGCTTTGCAGGGTGCGATACCGGTTTTCGTCCCTCAACCCTAGACCCTAAACCCCACTTAAGACCCTAAACCCCTAAAACCCCGACACCCTCGTAGATGTTGATTGCTTGCAGCTCCTACTGGTAATTAATATGGAAGTCGGAATAAGGCATCATAGTACATGGTAGCTCCATAGGTGCACTGATCCTAAAACCTACTATCTACTGCATGACTCAAAGCCCCATGTGTAGCAGAAGCCGGGCCGTTTAAACATCTAAAGAGGTTACCTCGGAAGAGGGTATAGTAGCGCTTGTTCAGGGCTCAATTGTTCAGGGTGAAGTACGACATAGTTCTGGTTGACCATGCCGCAGGTAGTAGTTTTTAGGATTCACAAGCCAAGAAGTTGGAACATCATTATCCTGATGCCCCCTGCAGTAAAAGAATCCTAATTCCAGCTTTCCGGTGTTAACCCTAAACCCTAAACCCTAAACCCTATTCCGGGGTTCACTATAATCTTAAACTAACCAGGAAAGTAAGGAATCCTCGCCGTTCCGGGTCAGGTTTCCGCTTTGGGGTGGCAGGATTTTGGAGCTGAGGATCTGCGGCATAGACTTGTTTTAGGATTGATAGGGTGTAGGTCGTCTGGTGTTTCATGGCCTTGAAAGCAAGCACTGAGTATGATTGCAGCTTCGAGCTTTGGTACGTGTGTGTGTGTGTGTGTAAGTTCATGGACATCAAGGATCATGAAATCCAAGACCCTTCACTGAGCCTGGGGAACTCTTGTGGATCCGCTCGTCTACGGAAGAGGTAGGTTGGAGTTGTTCATGTCGAAACTATCCAAACCCTACGTGACCGTACTAACGCGAATGACTTTCATAGAATGCGGGATAGCGCGTTTAACAAGATCCCGACTTGGAGGACCGCAAAACGGGGCGTCCAACTTTAAGACATCCTCGCTAAATATGATTGTCCTGGACGCTGTGGAAATGCCTTCCAGCCGCTTCGTGGACCTGAAAAGCTGAAAGGGCAACCCTTGCAAACCCCACACGTCCACCGGGTGTCCCTAAACCCCAAACCCTAAGTTTTAAACGCGACACCCCAAACTAAACCCGAAACCTAAATCCTAAACCCCCATGTCGGGCAACAACAAACACCGCACCCTCTATTACACCCCACCCCCGGCCCCCCAATACCCACTATTGAAACAAGGACCACAAGCGCTCCATTAGACCCTAAACCCGAAAACATAAACCCGAAACCCCAAACCCCTAAACCCCTTAAAGGAAGCGCTGTAGATCCTTTTAAAGGAACCCTGAGCCCGAAACCCCAAACCCCCAAACCCCTAAACCCCCTTAAAGGAAGCCCTATAGATCCTTTTAAAGGAACCCTAAGATCCCCTACAGATCCCTTAAAGAAGGGGGCCTAGGAAGCTCTATAGATCCTTTTATTGGAACCCTAACACCCCCAAACCCCCCCAAGTGCCGAGGTCCAAGCCTCGAAGCGCTGCCTCGAGGCCTTTTTTCTTGGGTTTTAGAGCTTTAGGATTTAGGGTTTAGGGTTTAGGGTTTAGGGTTTTAGAGCTTTACTTGGAGGCCCTTTTGACTTTAGCAAGTAGGGTTAGTAAGGTGGGTTATGGGGATTATAATGGGGTTTCTAGGGGATACTAAGTAGACTTACTAAGTCAACAGGGCCTCCAAGTAGGATTTAGGATTTAGGGGTCTTTAGGGGTCCTTTAAAGGGTTCGGTAGGGGTTCCTTTAAAGGGATCTATAGGGGTTTAGGGGTTTAGGGTTTACTTGGAGGCCCTTTTGACTTAGTAAGTAGGGTTAGTAAGGTGGGTTATGGGGATTATAATGGGGTTTCTAGGGGATACTAAGTAGACTTACTAAGTCAACAGGGCCTCCAAGTAGGATTTAGGATTTAGGATTTAGGGGTCTTTAGGGTTCCTTTAAAGGGTTCGGTAGGGGTTCCTTTAAAGGGATCTATAGGGGTTTAGGGGTTTAGGGTTTAGGGGTTCATGGGTTTAGGGGTTAGGATTTAGGGTTTAGGCTTAGGTTCTGGCTTAGCTCCCAAAGGCTCCATGCGCCTTCATAGGGTTCCTTTAAGGCGTTCCTTTAAAGGGGTCCTTAAAGGGTTCTTTTAAAGGGTTCTCATTATAGGGTTTAGGGTACAAGCGTCCATGGTACCCTTATAGTAGATTCTTAAGCCTTAAAGGGATCCCTTTTTAGGTACTTTAAGGCCCAAGTGTATACTATATGGTACATGGGGCCTGAGGGGCTAATCTACTAGGGTGCCCAGTACCACCCTTGTTCCCATTTTGTCGTCCTCGGTTCCTAAGTTACTCAATATCAACAAGGGAGCCCTTGTTATTCCTATAATGGGGCTTGTATTGGGGTTTACAGGGTCTATAGGCTCGAGGTTCGAGGCTCCTAAACCCTAAACCCTAAATCCCTAAACTCTAAGCCCTAAACCCTGAACCCTAAACCCCAACCCCTAAACCCTAAACCCGAAGCCCTTAAACCTTGAACCCTAATCCCTAAACCCTGAACCCTGAACCCTAACCCCTAACCCCTAAACCCCTTAACCCTTACCCCTAAGCCCTAAAACCCTAAACTCTAAACCCTAAACCCTAGAAGCTCCAAAAGGCGGCGCTTGGGAGCGCTCCAGCTGACGAGGCCGTCATTTGCAGTGCAGCGAATATACTACGGTTGATGATATAGATCCTAGGGTTCCTCTCAAGGGCTCTATAGAGGTACCTTTAAGGGGGTCCTTTAAGACATCTATAGGTTTTTAGGGTTTAGGTTGATGATCTAAATCCTGCATTACCTTGAGGACCCCAGACTCTGGGAATTATGGTATGTTTCTTATTATGGCTAATGCAGGATTTACATCATCAACCGTAGCAGGTCTTTCAAGGTTTAGGTTTGGGCTTTCGGGGTCTGGGGTGAGGTTTTATGGGTTTAGGGGTTTAGGGCTTAGGGTTTTACCCTCAGCCGAGTTTGTTAAGGATCCTTATAAAGAAGTCAAGATAAGCAACCCCAGCAAGATAGGTTTTGTGAGGTTTCAGGTAGGGTTTAGGGTCTGGGTTTAGTAGGGGAGTTAAGTTTCGGTTTTCTGAGGTTTATACTTGACATCCGACACCTACACTCTGATGTAGTGAGGGCGATTAGTGCTAGGATTCCTTTCGACTTGTCTGCTGTTCAAGATAGAGTTATGTTAAGAGGGCCTGCACGGTTTGGGGTTAAGGGACGGTGCGTTGATCCCGAGCTTCGGTGGATTTAGTTCAGTCTTGAGCGCTCTTAAAAAACCCATAATCTTGGAAACCGGATTAAGGCCAAATAGTGCTGGGATTCACTATACATTACTCTTACGGATTGAGGCTATTGGGTTTCCCACGTCAAGGCTTCTACTGTACGTCAGTCCAAAACAGGTGGGTAGTGCAGGTATCAATTTGTGGTAGTTGGGGGGGGAGGGGTCGGTTTAGGATTTATAATAGTTTAGCCCATGTGCTTGTAGCAAAAGTCCCCAAACCCACAAGCCGCGAAGAGGGTTTAGGGCTTTGGTGTTGGGATTTAGGGTTCAATTCTTACGGTAGGGTTCAGAGTCTATCAGGTTCTGGGTTGTTTAGCTTCAACTGTTTGAATGCCTGTGTTGCACGTCGCTTCTTAGTGTCTGGGGTAGGCTTTACGTGTTCGGTGTTTGGATGTTTCGTCCTGTTGTTCTCCTGCTATTATCATGAAGCCATGGCTTACGCTTGGCTCCAACAGCAACCGCCGAACAGAGCCCGCAACGTTTTAAAGACCCATATGCAATAAATGTTTGTTGCGCCCAGGGCCCATAGATAGCCGATAATACCAGTAGGAACATACGGCTTTCGGGGACCGAATAATACATATGAGATATGCGGGACTTGGACCCCTGGTGTCAACCTTTGGTTATAGAACCCGTTTACCCTAAACCCTTAGCGCTGTACCGCTGAACCCCCAAAACCCCAAAGCTAGAACCAAGGGCCCTTCTTGCCTAAATAGGAGTTTCCGAAAATCTGGGGTACCTTATTTGAAGTCCCAAGTGTTTGCTTACAGAACCTCGCAGCCCTTATCTGAATCCCTTGGTCATAGATTCCGCCTTGGCCAAAATCCAAGCATCCCTACGCCCCTCGGTATAGAGCACTAGTAATCTTTCTTGAAAACACTCAGCCCTAAACGCCAAACCCTGCTCTCTCAGCTCCCTAGGCTCACAGCCCGCAGCTGAAAATTTAAAGCCAGCCCTTAACCCTAAACCCTAAGCCGTACACCATATATGAACCCTAAACCTTGAAGCCGAATCCCAGGGCTTAGTAAGAACTTCTCGACTCAACCGGAGCGCCATGGGCCCCTCAGAGAAAGCTGCAGAGTTCGATGTGGTGGTCGGAACTCCGGTCAAGTATCCTGCCTGAACATGGGGCTTCACGGTTTCGGGTTTTGGGTTTAGGGGACTTTCAACCCTAAGCCCCAAACCCCTGAACCCCAAGCAACAGTTTCTGAAGCCTAAACCCGAAACTGAACTTTCCAGCAGTCCCATCGACCGGGCCTGTATGCTCGATTTTATTCATGAAGGCTTCGGTTTGAAAGCGAGACACAACCCGCCTGGGCCCCCACTTATTGCGTGGTCGGCGTAGTCCCGCAGTATCCAGGGTTAAGACATAACTATACTTGTATTCCAAGAGGGCCCATATATACTACCATTATGGAATTAGGCTCCCGACACCACAATAGGGATGGTCTTTTGGGACCTAATTCCATGATTGTAATACATATGGACCCTCTGTGTATTCAGTCATAATCCGTACTCGCCAAGTCCCATGAACTTCTACGAAGAACCCAGGGTCTTAGCGTACAGTGTGATGTGGGTTTCTGACCAAAGCCCCAGTTCCAAGAGGGTCCATCTATGTTACGATTATGGAATTAGGCCTCCAAATCCCAAAACCACAATAAGGACGCACTGAAAGAGTTGCCCAAAATGCGCCATCACGTTCCCCAAAGCATCATCAGCATCACAGTGGCGCACGAATCATACATGGGCAATGTGTTTCTACACATAATAGGGTCCCGATAATTCTGTAACAGGGTGCCTTTTTTTCCTTGAGAGTTTGGGATTTTGGATTTAAGGATGCAAGCAGAACCATGTTGGGTTTAGCGTTACAGTTTGACCTACAAATACAGTACCCCGTAGCGAGGAAGAGAAACCCTCCTGTTATACGGAATCCTTACCGGATTTCTTATAGTAAGCCCCCCAAGCACTCGTGTACATCAGGCTGCAATATTGCAGACACCTTTGAAACACCCCTAAGGAACCCTTGGCCGAACCAAAAAGGACCAGAACAAACCCGAAACTGGTGATCTTAGTAGCTGAGTAGGCATCCTTTAACCTTTTGGGGGTTTATTGACTCCTACCATAGTTTGAAAGGTTAAGCTTTTCTTGGCTAAGGTACTCAGCCCCTACAGTAAACCCCGTAAAGTTGGAAACCGGGTTAAGGCCAAATAGTGCTGAAATTCCCTACACATTACTCTTCAGGACTGAGGCTACGGGGTTTCCAACTTTTGGGCTTCTACTGTAAGTGATTCTGCTTCCAGGTACTTCTTGCTGGGCGAGGATGAGACGGCTCTACGATCTTGGGAAGAGGCCAAGCGTAGCTGCATCGAAACAACGCCTCGGGGCTGCACTGTGGACCCAGAGGCTTTAATAGCCCTTCATTAAGGAAAACACCTTAAGCTTTAATAGGGCTCTCAATGTGATTTTAGGAAAATTCTTTAATTAAGCATTGAGGAAAATGTCGTAAGTTTGTTTAATTGGGTCCTCAATGTGATTTAAAGGAATATTCTTGAATTAAGCGATCTTGGAGTCTCTGGGGAGCTCCTTAAAGTGGTAACCCAGAGGGACGACGTACACTGACACTATTGCATGATGTTGATTGTCTTCTAGCATATAAGGGCCCTCTGGGTATGGGTTCCTGGTGCATTTCTAGGTAGACACGGAGTGCGCTCTCCTCCGAACTTAGGCTGAAACGACTGGATGCCGACGGCACTCTTGACGAGGCCATGTCTTGGGGGCCTTGTATGTTTTAGCTGTGCAGCAATCTTGCTCGTAACCATTCAGGGAGTTTTCGTCTGCGAACTTGTGTTATTCACGTCCGGTTTTTCAGCCATGTGCCGCCTTGGCAGAGGCTTTTCCAGTATTCTACTGGTAGAGTCCATAACTAAAGCAGACCGTTCCCGTGCAAGTCGTAGGAGCTCATAGTCGATGTTGGTTGACACTGAAGACCCTGCAAGCAAACGTGGAGAGCTTCCTCTGTGCAAGTCTGCTCAATGAGCGGCCACTCGCAGCTATGGTTCCTGCATCATTCCCATTCTAATCTACCCCGAAACTCTGTTGTGATTGCTCAAGCCGCTGTAGATGTCATCAATGGCCGTTTATTCACTTTTTCTCGGATACCCAGAGAGGTTGTTGCTCTTGTAGCAAGTAGTCCAATAGGCACCCTAATTTGGAGAAGCTCTTCCCTAAGGGTCCAAGTACCCAAATAGTAGGGTTTCAAGGTCCCAAAACCATTCAGAGTATGGATTTTGGGACCTAAAACCCTACTATTTGGGTACTTGGACCCTCTGGGCTTTTTATCCAAACAAAATGCCCTATCAGACCTTCGTTCTAAAACCATCGAAAAGCCTCATGAAACCCCTGGCAACGAGATGGGAGTTTCTGAAAATTAGGAGTACCGGAGTACCTTATTTTGGGGTCCTTACTTGGAGGCCCTTTTGACTTAGTAAGTAGGGTTAGTAAGGTGGGTTATGGGGATTATAATGGGGTTTCTAGGGGATACTAAGTAGACTTACTAAGTCAACAGGGCCTCCAAGTATAATAAGGATCCTATTACTTAGAGCACTATACTAGCATCCCTTATTTTTGGAAACTCCCAGATCTATCCAGGAAGGAGGCCCCCACAAAACCCTGACCCCTAAAAACCCTCAACCTTAACATCTAAGCCCGAAAAATCATGTAAAACTTCATCCTCGACACCCATACTTGGAGGTTCATGGGACTTAGCAAGTACAGTTATAAGTAACCTAGTTGAGATTATAAGTACATGGAAGTGTAGTTGCCTTAATTATAACACTTAAGAAAAGGCTTATGAACCTCCAAACAGAGGAGCCTCAGGCTAAGGCTCCATGTGGAGCCCAAGAATCCCAAGACCTTGATCTTCATGCCGCATTACGCAGAATGCATGCCGGAAGATAAATCAAAAAGAAGCTCTCGAAGTGTATGGCACTTGCCACTTCAGGGAAGAAGAACTGTTCTCACGTCCCGCCGCCTGGCTTACCACCAAGGAGAAGGGGAGACAGGCCTCGTTCAAAGTGGCAAAGATGGCGAACAATCTGCGCACAGTGAACGCTACAGTTGACAGCGCCGTGAATGCCCTTGGTCTCACGGCTGCCGACGCTGATCAGATGAAGAAGAGCATTTCACATGCCCAGAACCTCGTCCAGTTCTCAGCTCTGTTGTCGAAAACTGCCTTGAGCAAACGCAAGCGCAGTGACCGTGATGAGTCGTGACGGGGGTTGGGTTTAGGGTTTAATGCCGTAAGAAATCCAAAAACCCCCAAACCCTACAGCCCTAAACCCTAAATCCCGGTCCTAGAAACCCTAAAACCCCAAGCCTAGACCCTAAACCCTAAAACCCTAAGCACCTAAACCCTAAGCCCCATAAACCCCTAAACTCTAAACCCTAAACCCCAAGCCCTAAACCCCTAAACCCTAACGAGACCCTTGAATCCCTGGCCCCTACGCCCCTAAAGGCTCAATTCAGAGAGCCCCCTGATGTTCCCTCAGATTGCGCCGACCTTGCAGACATCGGCCCCGATTCTCGTCACCGGTGCCTTTGCGTTTTCTGCTTTAGGGGTTTGGGTTATTGGGTTTACGGTTTTTGCTCTTTGGTGGTTTAGGCTTTCAGGCTCTTGGGGGCTTAGGGTTGTCAAGTTTGGGTCTTAGGGTTTGAGGTTTAGGGTCAGTTTCGGGATTAGGGCACGATAGCGCGCGCCTTGGAGGGTCCATGTATACTGCCATTATGGAATAGGTACAAACCATGCGTAATGGTACTATCTATGAACTCTTTGGATTCTTCAAGGTTTTCCAATCGGTTCTATGGTATAAAGATTCTCGCAGGGCTCTTATGCGGCTTTTGGGTTCTAGAATGCTTCTGCGAAATGCAGGGGATCCTTATTAAGGGTGGTTGAAGTTTTCAAACGAGTTCTAAACGATCTTCACAAAGGAGTCGTAGAAGGTTTTCTTTCTGATTTGTATAGCACCAAAATAACCCTAAACCCTAAACCGTCAAACACCACTATGTGGCTTTGACAGTTTTCATAAAGTTCTAGGGGCTCTGTAAGGCTCGATGAGGCTTCGTTGCAGACTTATAATCATAGGGATCCTTAGGGGTGTAGGGGGAGGGGGGGTAGGGGGCCTTAAGGCCCATAATAAGGACTAATAAGGCCGATTTAAGGAAATATAGTCCCCTACACCCCTCCCACCTACACCCCTAAGGATCCCTAAGGCTCGATGAGGCTTCGTTGCAGACTTATGAGTGGTTCGGTAAGGGTGCTGTACGTGTTCTACGGGAGCAGTTAAGTACGACCACATTCCCACATCCAACGGTACACCAATACACTGATGCACGCATGCATACATTCATCCATGCATGCGTGCATGCATGCATGGTTGTCTGCATGCATACATACGCATATGGGAGTTTCCGAAAATTAGGGGTACCTTATTTTGAGGTCCTCATAATAAGGATCCTTCTAGTTAGGGTACTATTCTAGGGTCCCCCATTTCCGGAAATTCCCATATACGCATAGACATCCCATGTTCAGAACCAACTGAAAGCACACGAAGTGCCATCCTCCATACAAGACCAGCGTGCCCTAAATCCAAAACCCTCACTCCCGAAGCCCTAAATCTTAGGGGAACTTAGAAATGATTTTTAATCTTTGGTTACTACAAACCCTCAGAGACAGCTAAGCTTACATTTTTGGCTAGGGGTCTAAGTTCGGAAAAGAAATCCTTGATCCTAAACCTTGACACCTGAGCCACGATCTTTGAATTGACAGGTAGGAGCTGGCTATCAACGAATCTTTGGGCCCAAGAAGACATGGGAGTTTCCGAAACTTAGGGGTACCTTATTGTGGGGGTCCTTATAATCGGATCCTACTATTTAGGATACTTTGCTCAGGTCTCTTCTTTTCGGAAGCCCCACATCTTCATGGTGGGTGCAATGCCTTGGGTGTTGTCATGGCTGTTTAGACTGATTGCTGTTGCTGCTCTTGCGTCTTCATTTTGCTGAAGGTCGTGTTCGGTGGCCCACTTGCCCCTGCAACCGCTTGCGATACACCAGTCCTCGAAGTGACAGAATGCCCATTTGAGTGCTCATGAAAGGCCAGCAAAGTCTTCTACGACGCTTTTCAACTCCTATCGAATCTTCGTGAAGGCGTAGCCTAAGCCTGAGCCCTAAACCCTGAACCATAAACCCTAAACCTTAAACCCTAAACCCTAAACCCTAAACCTTAAACCCTAAACTAAACCCTAAACTAAAGCTGGTGATGCCTGTCGCGACGTCTAGGAGCCTATGGCATCACCAGCGCACGTGCGCTGAGCACCGGCATCCGTTTCAAGAACGGATGCTTGCTGCATGCAGCTTGAGCGCGAAGAGTTAGCTTCGTGCTCCGTACCCGCATTCGTTCACTTCGGAGGGTGCATTACGCTTCAAGCGTAAAAATAAATAATAGTATATTTTAATACCCTAAACCCTAGGGTCGGGATCCTAAACGGCCCGTAAAGTTTTGAAGTTGGACCCAGCTGCCTGTACGGACAGGAGACCACCACTGCCCGTACGGACGGCCGGTTCGGGCGGCCCCCACTGCCCGTACGGACGGCGCCAAAAGACACCTTACGTCCAATTTGGGCCCATACCTTATCCTTGCCTTTTTCATGAAGGGGACCCCACTGTCCGTATGGACGGCCGGTTCGGGCGGCCCCCACTGCCCGTACGGACGGCGCCGTGCGGACGGCCGGTTCGGGCGGCCCCCACTGCCCGTACGGACGGCGCCGTGCGGACGGCGCTCCCCTATCTTTGCCTTCTTAATGAAGGAAACACGTTACCTCCAATTTGGGCCCATACCTTATCTTTGCCTTCTTAATGAAAGAGGACCCCACTGTCCGTACGGACGGCCGGTTCGGGCGGCCCCCTGCCCTCCTATCTTTGCCTTTTTAATGAAGGAGGACCCCACTGTCCGCACGGACGGCCGGTTCGGGCGGCCCCCTGCGCGTACGGACGGCAGTCCCTTATCTTTGCTTTCTTAATGAAAGAGACCACGGGCGGCCCCCACTGCCCGTACGGACGGCGCCGTGCGGACGGCGCTCCCCTATCTTTGCCTTCTTAATGAAGGAAACACATTACGTCCAATTTGGGCCCATACCTTATCTTTGCCTTCTTCATGAAGGAGGACCCTACTGTCCGTATGGACGGCCGGTTCGGGCGGCCCCCACTGCCCGTACGGACGGCGCTCCCCTATCTTTGCCTTCTTAATGAAGGACACCGCCTACGTCCAATCTGGGCCCACTCCAGAAACCACTGCCTGCAACAAGGAGCTACCTTATCTTTGCCTTCTTAATGAAGGAGGACTCCCGTCGTTGAAGCTCAGCCGCTTGTAACGTCCCTTCCTTATCTTTGCCTTCTTCATGAAAGAGGACTCCTCTTCGGAGTGAAGACGGACCCGCCACCCGTATCGGCGCTTTCTTATCTTTGTCTTTTTCATGAAGGAAGACTCCGGGGTCCAATCTGGGCCCACTCCGGACGCTCCTTTATCTTTGCCTTCTTAATGAAGGAGACCACGGCGGCCGAAGCGGGCTGCCATTTCAGACAACCCGAGACTGGACCGCAGACTGGACCCTGCTGTCCCCACACTGCCTGTACGGACGGTGCTCCCCTATCTTTGCCTTCTTAGTGAAGGACACCCTTAGAGGCCTGTCCGTACGGACGGCCACTTTGGCAGCCGCCTGCCCGTACGGACGGCGGCGCGTGCAGGAGGCCGTACGGACGGCCGGTTCGGGCGGCTCCGATTGCCCGTACGGACGGCGCTCCTTTATCTTTGCCTTCTTAATGAAGGAGACCACGGCCACGGCGTGGACCGCAGACTCCCCACTGTCCCCACACTGCCCGTACGGACGGTGCTCCCCTATCTTTGCCTTCTTAGTGATGGACACCCTTAGAGGCCCGCCACCTGCCCGTACGGACGGCGGCGGACCCCACTGCCCGTACGGACGGCCGGTTCGGGCGGCTCCGACTGCCCGTACGGACGGCGCCGGAACTGCCCGTACGGACGGCGCCCTGCGCTCCACCAAACATTCAGTACCGCTGGTAACGGCCCCCCGACGAAAGCTTATGAGCAAGACTTCAACGCTAAGGGAATACGTTGTACGTCGTCCAAACCCCATAAGAAAAACCCTAAACCCTAACAGATTCAATGTCTGGGTGGTCTTGGGGTGGGATGTCGCGTCCAGCTCGGCGCGCCGCCCCGCGACCCTCTGGGTCGAGGCGCGCCGCTTACTATGGGAAACCCTAAACCCTAAACCCTAAACCCCAAACCCCTAAACCAGAAGCCCCAAAGGGAGTTCTGGATATCTCGGCTCGGCATTGATCCGGACACTACGATCGCGTGGAATTAAGGCCAGGGCGCTGGGGCAGAGCCAGGGTTTAGGGTTTAGGATTTAGGGTTTAGGGGTTTAGGGTTTAAGGTTTAGGGTTTTGGGGTTTAGGGTTTAGGGTTTAGGGTTTAGGGGTTTTTCCGAGTGTCCATGCATACCCGATAAATAAACGACACAATCCCTAAACCTTAATCACCAGACCCTAAACCCCAAACCCTATTAGGGTTCAGAGTCCCGGCACCCCTAACTCCTACACTTTTGCAAAAATTTTCTGCATGAAAGACACAGTCGCTTAAGATATAATAAGTTTTTAGAGCAGCGTTTAAGGTTTGGGGTTGATAGGGCTTAGGGGTTCAGGGGTTTAGGGGTGGGGGTTTTAGTGGTTTAGGGTTTGGGAGTTGAGCTGTTCAGGATTTGGGATTTAGGGTCTGGGGTTTATGTAGGATGTAGGCTCTTTTCACAAGGATTTGGGACACACGGTTAGGTGTGCCTTAACTCCTAAGCCTATGAATCGGTTTTAGGGTCCGGGGATTCGAGGTTTAGTGGTTCAGAGTTTGGGGTTTAGGGGGCTCTGGGTTGGGGGGTTTGGGTGGAGGTTTCTTGGCGTTCTTCTGGTTGGCTCTTTAGACTTTAACTTTTTAGGTTTCTATATGAACTGTAATAAGAAGGCTAAAAGTTTAACTTTTAGGAGGGGTTCAGAAGTCAGCCAAGGTTTATAGGCTATGGCTATGGGTTTTTAGGTTTTGGGCGTTGAGCGGTTTGGTCTAGTCTTTTGGGGTGTAGGATTCTTGAGTTCAGAGTGCAGTTCAGGGCTTAAGGTTTTATGGCGTGGCACACTTGGAGGCTCATGGGACTTACTAAATACAGTTATAAGTACCTTAACTGGGGTTATAACCAATTATAAGTATAGTTACCTTGTTTATAGCCACATTTACTAAGTCCCATGAACCTCTAAGTAGGCGCTATACAAGAGACCCTAAGCCCCAAAGACTAAACCGGAAGCCCTACGCCGCTTTGGAATTCAAGTTTCGCGGCTTTGGTTCAGCGTTTTAGGGTTTGCGGGGTTTCTGCTTCAGCTGAGCACCTGGCGAGCACGAAGATCTCTCCAAACCCCTAGAAACCAGCATAGAGTTTCGAATGCTTAGTAGTCACTTACAGTTCTAGTTATTTCTTCCTGGTTAAGTTAAGTATGTATATGTCTGTATGCACGTATATGCATTGCATATGTCTTTGTCTATGCATATGTATGTCTGCTGGCACAAGAAGAGTTCGGTCCTGGAAGGTACAGCCTCAACCAAGATAAAAGCATAACGTAGATCCCGAACCCAAGGCCCTAAATCCCAATTCCCAAACAAAGCTAAACGGCGAGACGCTCGTTGAGCGGTTTATTGTCTAGGGTAAGTGGTGTCCGATTTGTCGCTGTGGCGGTGCTTAGTGGGCCAGCCTCCGGACCCTAAGGGTCCATGTACCCAAATAGTATACACTTTGGCCTTAAAGTAGTCCCTATTTAGGTACTTTGGGGCCAATGTATGTACTATTTGAGTACATGGACCCTTAGGGGTAGCTACACTGGGCTGTTTTGCTCCCCAGGGAAAGAAACGAACTCCATACCCGAAGCCCTGCACCGAAACTCATCTCACCTCCTCCCGATCTCCTACTTCAGTGGCGGCCCGGGGGTGCAGGCTGTGGGGATGGACCTCGTCTCTGCTGAAACGACGCATGTCGGAATTAGGACTCCTAAACCCTAAGACCCCAAGCCCCAAACCCCTCAACCCCTAAACCCCTACCCCCTAAGCCCCTAAACCTTAAACCTTTTTTCAACAAGTGGTCGTCTGGCTTGATCGGGCTTTACCATATCCCATGTCACTGCAGCCCTTGGAGTGATATTCAAGTCCACCTTAAAACCCTAAACTCTACCTCTATCCCCAAACCCTGCGAAATAGTAGGTTATGACCCCTTGATTATAGGGTCTAACCCCTAAAGCGGTAGGGTTTTCGGATCCCAAGGTACCCTACGTTAGTCTCTTTTCCGTGTCCTAAACCCTAAACCCTAAACCGTTACTAAGGACCGATTGCCTCGGCTGTGTATCAGATGCAGCTGCTGTGGCCGCGGCAAGCGAGGTGAGGCATCGAGACAGCTACGGCTTTTTGAAGGGTAAGGGTGTAGAGTGTAGGGTGCGAGGGTACTACAGGGTTCTGTAATAAGGTTCCCTGTAAAGGCCACTATAGGTTCCATAAACAGGGTCCTCTTTACAGGGTACTATAGGCTTCTAGAACAGGGTTCCGTTGAGGGCTCTGCAAAGCGTATGGGGCTTGGGGCTCTTTACAGGATTCCCGTTTCGGTTCTTGAACGGGTTCATTGTAATAGGCTTCCTTTACAGGTTCTTTCCTGTCACTCCAAACCCTACTAAATAGTAGGTTATGACCCCTTACTTAGAGGGTCTGACCCTTGAAATGGTAGGTTTTTGGATCCCCAGTTCTTAGACGGGTTCCTTTGCGGCCTCTGGGATGTCGTGCTCGCACGCAGCCTAAAGCCTCTTTCTCCGTGCCAGTCCCAAAGGGTCCTAGGTACTGTTATGGGGAATACTTCCCCAAATCATAACCCGAAGCATCTAAGGACTCATATATTAAGGCTTTTGCGCCCAAAGACCATATTATATGAGGCTTTTGGGCTATTTTGATGCCCAGGGGAACAATAATTCCTAATATAGAAACCCTACATTCTACAATACAGGTACTTTGAACCCTTTGGGAGGGACTGTAGCAGGCATGCAGATCCATCATTCACACGGCGGCGCTCCATGCGCCTAACCTCGACTTCTACAAAGATGCCGACGCTCTTTCCTGACATATGGTTTAGAAGCTGCCCCCCACCCTGTAATAGTGGTATAGTAGGAATATAATAGGGCCCTAATATAATCCTATATAGTCCTTATAGTCACTATTACAGGGTGGGGGCAGCTCCTGACATATGGTTGAGGGATGAGGCGTCAAGGACCCGCCAGGACACGCCTCTCCAAGGCTTCAGCCCCGAACTTCCTTCAATGGGGTTCAACAAGTCTTAGACCTTACTTTGACGATCACGGAGCTTAGTAGCTAGGGCTATAAATGAGCTTGACATGCTTATAATCACGTATGACCCCGATACCCTTACTTGCTAAGTCCCATGGCCCATGATCCTCAAAGTATACCTAGGACCCAGAGTAGGCCCTCTTTCCCTTGTTTTAGGGTTTAGGTTCCCTTCTGACCCCCAGACAGTCCTCAACTTTGAAGGACTTAAAGCAGCTGACCTAAACCCTAAACCCTTACCTCTAAAAACCCAAAACGGTATCCTACCGTTGCAGCTTCCTGGGCACGTCATCTTGCTTTCTAAGTAGATCCCTTATAGATCCCTTAAAGGAACCCCTATAGTAGATCCCTCTAAAGGAACCCTGTAGATCCCTTCCAGATGCCTTAACGGAAACTTTTTAGAGCCCTTAAAGGAACCCTAGGTAGATCCCTTATAGATCCCTTAAAGGAACCCTTATGGATCCCCTAGGTTGATCCCTTAAAGGAATCCTAGGTACTCCTTAATTCCAGGATTTTCGAGCCGAGGATTTCGAGCGGGTGAATGTTGTCGGCACCGAGAACGTCATGCAGCGGGCGGATGCTCAGCAGATGCGCCTTGTCCGGTTTTGGGGTTACTTAGGGTTTTAGGGCTTCAGGGGTTCAGGGTTTAGGGTTTTAGGCTTCAGGGTTTTAGGGGTCCAGGGTTTGGGGTTTAGGACGCCGACATCTAAGCATCGCCTGTGAGGAAGAACAGCCTTTGAAACGATAACGGGGTCCTGTTTCGTGACCCTTCTTGATGCCCCCGTATCCGAAGGCGGGCGAGCTGCTGTAGTGTCCGTTCCTGGTGACTTTACGTGTCTGTCCACAGACGCACTTCTGGTTTCGGATTGGGGCGAAGTTGCCATACTCACCCAGACCCTTCCCCGCGGGAAGATCTCATGAACACCGAGAAAGCTTGCAAATTGTCCTAGCATGATGAAGGGTATTCAAGGATACTGAGATTGCATTATCGCGCAACGGGTTGCTAGTTTCGATGCTTGTGTGAAACCGCTTGTATGAAATCACAGTGAGTAAGCCGACTCATCATCTTGAGACGAGTCTCGGTTCCTCACCTCCCGGAGAATCCTCAGACCTCCTCTGCAAATTGCGCACCGAAGACGGGTGTTTGCTTAGCGCCAAGGGTCGGGGTGGTATTTTCCTCGACGACATCCTTGATGAACACGGCTGAGGCAGGGACGCAATGCGGATCATGCAGTAATGAATAATGAAGTTGTTAGGAAATGAATCCCTGGCATGCTTGTGACAATCAGTGGAGTGGTACAGAGACCACGACGGTGACGAATGCCACGATGACGTCGACTGCTGCAAACAGTTAGTAAGTACTTGTTCTAGCAACTCGACCGGCTGCATTAACGATGATGACGATGACCGTGACGACCGCTATTGGCGCTACATCTACCATTGCCACCACCACTACCTTGAGGACGAAATCCCCCCCCCCCCCTAAAATTCCTAAACCCTACCAGGGGTTGAGGTCCAATTGCCCTACGGGAACTCGTGGCATAAGGGCATACTTGGAGGGTCGGGCGACTTAGTAAGTAAGGTTATAGGTACCTTAATTGGGGTTATAAGTAGTTATAAGTATGGTTACCGTATTTATAACCCTGGTTACTAAGTCCCATGATCCTTTAAGTAGGGCCCTTACAGCGTGCCTTTCTGCTGCTGATTTGGCCCTTAAGGTACCTAATCCCCTAAACCCCTACACCCTAAACTCCTAAACCCTATAAGCTAAGATCCTAAACCATAGACCCAATAAACCCAAGCTCCTAAACCCCAAAACCCTTGAACCCCTGACCTCGAAACCGGTTTAGGGTTTAGGGTTTCGAAGTGTCTGGGTAGCTCTGAGCCTCCGCCCCTGACAGGTGAAAAGGCGAAGTGCAGCAGAGACCGTTGTCCTCAAGGCATTACCTCTAAAGGGATCTATATCCCAAAGGCTCAAAATAGCCCAAAAGCCTTGTATAGTATGGTCTTTGGGCCCAAAAGCCTTAATACTTTAAGGCCTAAGTATGTATTATATGGGTACATGGAGCCTTAGGGTTTAAAGGGATTTGTAAAGGTTCCTAGAAGGGATCTTTAGGGTTTCGGGGTATAGGGTTTAGGGTTTACCTAGGGATCCAACAATCTACCGTTTTAGGGGTTCGACCCTCTGTTTGGGGCCACAGGTTAGCTCTTTGGGGTCCAGTGGCTTCGAGTTACCCAGAGATTCCGAACTCCCAAACCCTAAACCCTGAACCCTAAACCCTAAACCCTGAACCCTAAACCCTGAACCCTGAACCCTAAACCCTAAACCCTAAACCCTAAACCCTGAACCCTGAACCCTGAACCCTAAACCCTGAACACTAAACCCTAAACCCCAAACCCCAAGAGCTTAGAGGTTTAAGGTCTAAAGATGGGAGAGCGGTCGACTGTGGGGCCTGGGTTTGGTTTCAGTTCTTTTTATCGGGTTTCAACGTTAATGGCTCCAAAGCAGGAGCTTGTGTTTTGTGTCGCGTAAAGCACATACCACAAAGCAAGCATCACAAGTGTTTTTCGGAACAGCTTATTCGAGCTGTGCAAAATCGCTCTCCAACAGGCTCCACACCAGTGTGTAGGTCGAGCCTCTTAATCTGGGTTCTTGTGTAGCAGATCTTACAAGCAGAAAACGCTGTAAATATCGATGAATTCAAGACTCTCTAAAGAACGTCTTAAGGTAGGCTACATAAGCTCGACAGTTTCTCTATGCAGCTCTGATATTCGGGCCTTTAAGACTCTGGACTGTCTACCCAAAGCAAGCTTAGCCAACACCGCTGTTGGTAACAGTGTTTGAAACACCAATGTAGAGATTCAGCCTAATTAGCTGTCGATTTGCATTGGCATAGGGTTAACGAAATGTGGATGCACATAAGGGCCCTTGTTTTTGCGCGGTGAAGCAAAGTAAAGATGTGAGCGGGTTCAGCCTATGTACCTGTATAAAAGACTACCAAAGACAAACTGTAATCGATGAAGATCTGGCTGCTGTCCTAGACTGGAATCCTACTTGTGTTGATGCTTATCCGATTCTGGCTTCTTCCGATACCCTTGTTCATAAGGTACCCCGTACCCCTTCGAAATAGCCAGTATTTGGATCAAAATCATTTGGATTAGTGAAAAATGCTGCACTGGATACCGGGTCGGTTCCAAGCCATAACGGATCGTCCTCCTATAGTTCCTCAAACCGGTTTGGTCCAGGCCGTAGCACGCTCTCCATCCCTACACATAGCCTTACAAGAGATTTTGTATAGTTGAAATACTAAACACAAACATCTTGTGGTTTCACTCGATGAGCCTGGACGTATCAGCCGCACGCTGCTGCAGTGCGTTTATCTCTTTATACACAAAAGAGAAACACACGGGCCCGATTTCTGTTGCACCTAAACGACCCACATGTTTACAAACAAACAACCCGCAAGTTTATAACCAAGGCCCGGTATTTATAAACAACCCTTGAAAGTGTTCATAGAAGGACCAGCAGAAATCACCGCAAATACCAGTGTTTATTGATTTCAATTTATCCAACCAGGTCTTGGGATATCTCACATTAACTCCACACTTTCCTCCATTAAGAAAAAGTTTTGTGACCAGCACTTAAGACTTGAGGGTTGGCGTCAATTGGGAATGGCGGCGCGCGTCTCGGGCGGATGGTGGATTGGTCGGCGGTTGTACCTTGTGGTGAACGTGCTGGTGGTGAGGGGGGAGGGGGGGGTGGCAGGTGTTGGACGTTGGCCGCATCATACCAAGACCTCTGGCGCCCCCCCCCCACCTCGAGCGAAGCGTTTGTTTATAAACAGCGCCTGTGTTTATAAACAGCGGCCGTGTTTATAAACACAGTAAAGGAAAACTAAAACAAGTTTAACAACCCAACACATCACGATAAGAATTCATGACAAGAATCCTTGACAAGGCGATACAGACATCAATCAATTCAACAAAAGATGCGTGAACAGAAGGTTAAGAGCAGCAAGTAAGCATCACGAGCCCGATCCAAAGGCCTACGTAGCTTCAAAAACTCCTTATACACAAACGCAGGCCCCAGGATCGACCCTTCTGAAACCCTAAACCCCAAGAGCTTAGAGGTTTAAGGTCTAAAGATGGTTTACGTCAAAGGGGAAAAGGAAGGACCCTTAATGGGGACCCGTGAGTCTCTCCTATAATGGGCTATATAATGGGTCCATGTACCCTTATAGTATATACTTAGGCCTGAAAGTACCTATATATATAGGGACTCCTTTAAGGCTTAAGTATCTACTAGAATGGTACCATATACCCTAAATCCTATAGAACCCTTATCTAGGATGCCCAGTAGTACCCTTATTCCCTTTTTGTAGTCCTAGGTTCCTTATAAAGTTACCCAATACCAAAAAGAGAGGCTTTTTTATTCTTAGATTACTGGGTATCCTAGGCTATATCAAGGGTATATACCTAGTGGTCCTTATTAAGGGTCCTCCTTCCCCCCTTTGATTAGGGGTTTAGGTTTACGGCTTAGAATCTTTAGAATGTCATGTAAGGTTTCGGTCTAAGGTGCGGGGGCGCGGCTTGGGTCTCCAGGCAGCAAGAGCACCCTGAGGAGCGTAGTGCGCAGCCCTAGGAGTCCAGGTACCCAAAATAGGTACTGAAGCAACCATTTAGGGGTTTAGGGTTTAGGGTTTAAGCTTGCTCTAAAACCTTACTGTTTAGACCCGCAGCGCACAAAAATACCCGTAAAACCAAGTAAGAATTTATAAGCTGAATCCTAAACCCGGGACCCTCGTCCAGTACCAGTCTGAGTGAAAACTTTGTTGAGAGCCGGTGCCGGCAGACAAACGGACAAAACCTCCTGTCACACGGGTTACCTGGGCCTGAAAGAACCTACCTTTTTAGGGTTCCTTACTATGCATTCTTTATATAAGTCCTTAAAAGGGAAGGTCATTTGGGGTCAAGGTAGACCTTCTAATTAAGGGGTCATCACCTACTCTTTTGTAGGGTTTGGGGATAGAGGAAGCAAAACCTTCCACTTTTGAATACCACGCAACCCTAAACCCTAAACCCTTAAACCCTAAAACCCCAAACCCTAAACCCTTAAACCCCTAAACCCTAAACCCCTAAACCCCTAAACCCTTGAACCCTAAACCCTTAAACCCTAAACCCCTAAACCCTCAACCCTGAACTCTGAACCGGAGGCTTCCGTGGATTACGGCACACCGAGGATGGGGGAGAAAACGCGGCGTTTCGAAGGATGCAGAGTCTACTTGGAGGGTCGGGGGACTTAGTAAGTAGGTAGTAAGTAGACTTATAAGTACCCTAAAAGGGACCCTAATTGGGGTTATGGTACTTATAAGTCCCTAAAATAACCAGTTACTAAGTCCCCCGACCCTCCAAGTACGGCGCTCCAAGTTGCCCAAAGTAGGTACTATTTGCATTCTTGGAGCCCTGGGCGTAGGGTAGGTTAGGTTAGTTTTCGATTTGTAAGGGTTTCAGAAGAGCTTCGGGTTTAACAGTGTTGTTGTTCTTGGGGTTTGGTGATTTACGTATTTTGCTTAAGAGAGCTATGTTGGAAAGCAGGGGTCCTTACAAAGGGGATCCTTGATATGGGGCTCCGTTGGTTCCTCAAACTGCCTTTGGACTTTGGGGCTAGGGTTCAGGGCGTGTGGTTTATGATGGCAAAACGTAGAGCTTGGCAGCAGAGATTCACATGTTTTGTCGCACAGTTCTGAGAGGGGTCTAATTCGGTGGCCCGACACGCCTGGCAGAAGTGTAGGACTAGGATGCCCGGTAGTACCCTTATTCCCTTTTTGTAGTCCCAGGTTCCAGATAGAGTAACCCAATACCAACAAGGGAGCCCTTTTCATTTCTAGGTTACTGGGCATCCTAGACGTGCATCTTCGGCCGAGACCGTCTTTTGTATATAAGATTTTTTTGGGGGGGTGTAAGACCACCAGTTTCAAAGACCGTTTAGAGTTCTATAATTCGGTTTAGGGTTTGGGGTGATTCTACAATGACATATCCTGATTGAGAAGCCGACCGGGATAACGAAGAAGCCTCAAAGTTAGAGCATTTCAAAATCAGTTGCAATATCAGCGCAGTACAAGAAGAGAAACTGCGTATTAGGGTCTATAGGATCTCATGTGTTTTTTGGGTTTTGAGAGAGTTCGGGGCATGCTTTCTGTATGCCTTTACAGATTCGTGCGAGAGTTGTCTGGGCTTCGGCTAAGGCGGCTAAGGGTTTTCGAGTTTTCATGAATCGGCCTTAAGGGTAGAGGGTATATACGTTATGGGGATTTTTCAGGCTTCGGTGGCTTTCGGAGATTGTTAGACAGTTAGATTTTAAGCGTTGCGGGTTCAGTGGTTTAAGAAGGTCCAACTGATCAAGCAGAAATTGGCTTCTTGTTCCGCTCCACGGCGTAAAAGCCTAAACCCTAACCCCTAAACCCTCAACCCTGCAACCTAAGCCCGCAGTTCCAACGGGGAGGATCTCTAGGGTGCACGTAAATTCTGAACTGAGCCCTAAACCCGAGACTGGTTGAACACTGGCCCTAATCCCTAAACCCTAAACCTCTAAACCGTAAACCCCTAAAGGAACTCCAGAAAGTTGGAATATGGATTAATGGTAGGATCCCCTATAATGTACCTTAAAGGGGTTACGATAATGATATTCCAACTTTCTGGCTTCTACTGTAAGCCCCAAAAATCCCTAAGCCCTAAACCTCTAAACCCTAAACCTCTAAACCCCAAAAAACCCTAAACCCCTAAACCCCAAAAAACCCTAAACCTAAACCCACATCTGCGGAGGAATATCTACGGCGTCACGAAGAAGCGAGCAGAACTCCTCAGCCAAGGAGCAGATTGAAAGAGTCCCTAACCCCAAGGGTCCAAAAGACCCAATAATTAGGTACTCAGGTTTTGAATAATTAGTAGTTATGTAAGTTACTATCTGGGAGAGTATATGTTTATTGGACCCTTAGGGTAAGGGTCTAGGGCTTAGGGGTCTTAGGGGTTGAGGGGTTTAGGTTTTAGGGGTTTGGGGGTTAGGGGCTTAGGGGTTTAGGGGTTTACGGTCTCGGGTTCAGGGATTTAGGGTTTATCTTTTCAATTCAAAAAGTGTTCCTTTCAGGGTTCCTTTAACCTTCAATTGGTTCTATAGGGTTTGGGTTTATAGGGTATAAGGGTCCATGTGCTCAAATAGTATATACATTGGCTTCAAAGTATTCCCTATATAGGTGCATTGGGCCCAAAGTATATATATACTGCGTGGGCACATGGACCCTTAGGGAGTTTAGGACTTCAGGGTTTGGGGTTTAGGACGCGGGACTTTTGGGTTGAGGGTTTAGGATTTGGGACTTCAGGGTTTGGGGGTCGGGACTGAGGACTTCAGGATTTGTGTAAGCACTAAAGCAGGTTTTCTGTGGTTGCTTACATATATGATATAGGATTTCAGAGGGCGTGGGGGCTTGAGTGCTTATGTATGCTTTGTGGTCGAGCGTTTCAGGGATAGGACAGGGTCTAGGGCGTCTACCTATGGCTCCAGCGACCTACTGTTTTGACGGCTTCTACCTTTAACTCAAGGGTTCAGGGTTCTACTGCTTGAAACGGTTTGGGCCCAAAACCCGAAGTCCTAAGCCCCAAGCACGGGTATGTGGTAAATGCCGGTCCGTGAAGGAGCTTCCCCGATCTGCTGGGCTCATGGGACCTAGACTAGTAAGTACTTAGAGGTTCATGGGACTTAGTAATTCGGGTTATAGGGTTCCTTTTTAAGGGTACTATAGGGTTCTATACTAGGCTTCCCTTTAAGGGCCTAGGGTTTAGGGTCTACTTAGAGGTTCATGGGACTTAGTAATTACGGTTAAAGGTAAGGTAACTATACTTATGATTACTTATAACCCCAGTTACGGTACTTACAACTGTACCTGCTAAGCCCCATGGACCTCCAAGTACAGTTATGAACACTATAAAGGGAACTCCAGAAAGTTGGAATATGGTTTCAGGGTAGGATAACCTATAATTTACCATAAAGGGTTTAGGATAATCATATTCCAACTTTCTGGCTTTTACTTTATGTTAGAAGTACATCTGAATGTGCGCAGTTGCCTAATTCATAACCCGTGTCACTAAGTCCCGTGAACCTTGAAGTACCTAGGTGCGACGAAGCGCTTGAGCTGCATCCCTCAAGCTGCTAGGATGCCCAGTAGTACCCTTATTCCTTTTTGTAATCCTAGGTTCCTTATAAAGTTACCCAATACCAAAAAGAGAGGCCTTTTTATTCTTAGGTTACTGGGCATCCTAGTCCTAAACCTTACGTAAACCCTTACATCAGGGGCTCACAAACAACCTTTTCGCAGGGTTTGGGGTAACAGGTAGTGCTGAAGAGGCCGGGTTGGGGGAGGAGTGTTGTTTGCTCCTTAAACCCTACCTTAGCCAGCTGGGACCTATTTTTCTGCATGGGCTCCATGTTAATTCCATATGACGGTTCATAATAAGAATCTGCGAAGATTTGGTAGATTGAGGTATAAGCCCTAAACCCATGGTTTAGGGTGTACCCCCCAACTACCCTCTACTATACCCTACATACACATGTTTTAAGGATCATAAGGGCGTGGGGTTCTAGTCATTCTAGTCGTTCCATTCTATAAGCCCTACGCAAAACCCTAAACCCAAGCCCAACCCAACCCAAGATCAGACTCTGAAGGGCTCCCGAGACGTTTACAGCATAGCATTCGGGGATTCGGGTCTACTTGGAGGGTCAGGGGAACCTAGTAAGGAGTGATTTAGTAGACTTACAGGGAACTCCAGAAAGTTGGAATATGGTTTCATGGTAGGATACCCTATAATTTACCATAGAAGGGTTAGGATAATCATATTCCAACTTTCTGGCTTTTACCTTATAACTACCGCAACACCAGTCAGGAACTCCTTTAGGGCACTTATCTACGGTTGAGGATAGAATCCTGCATTACCTTGAGAACCCTAAACCATGCGACTTATGCCTTATGATGGGTACTGCAGGATTTATATTATCACCCGTAAGTCCCCGACCCTCCGAATAAGGTATTGGGTCGAAGAGTTTTGGGTGATCATCGCTGCATGGATGGGGCTCATGGTGCGGTCATATTGTTGATGGTATAAATCCTGCATTACCTTAAGATCCCTAAACCTTATTACGGCCTTGTCCTTTTTCATGGTTCCCCCAAAAGAATAAACAGACCGGCTAGTAGACCTTCTTAAATAATTCCTACTAAGGGATATAGGTATAGGGCTCTGTCTATTACTTCTAAAAGGACAAGGGTGCCTTATTATGGGTAGTGCAGGATTTGTATCATCAACCGTAATATCCTTTCATGTGTGCGATCTAAGTCCAAACTCTGAATCCCTGAACCGTAAGCCCTAAACCCTGAACCCTAAACCCTGAAACCCTGGACCCTTAGCCCTAAACCCCTAAACCCCAAACCATCACTGGGTTCTGATAGTTTCCGGAAGCTTCGCTTTCTCATCTAGGACCCGGAGTAGGTCCTTATTCACTTGTTTTAGGATTTAGGTTCCCTTATAACCCCCTTTTAAACCAAAGGGGCACCCTTTTTATTCCGAGGTTACTCTCAGGTCTAGAGTCTAGAGCAGGGCTCCCTTTAAGGGTACTATTCCTGAACCGCTTTAGAGAACCCTTATAGATCCCTTTAAGGAAACCTTCAAGGAACCCTAAGGCAAAACAGCAGACAGCCAACACCGAATCGACACAGCCTTCCTCTCAGGTAGTATTGGGATATTCAGGGTTTAGGGCCTTAGGGTATTTAGGGTTTAGGTTTAGGGTATTTAGGGTATGAGGGTTTAGGGTATTTAGGGTTTGGGGTTTAGGGTTGGGGGTACCCCTTCAGTGCAAGCATTGCGATACATATATACGTAAGTATACACATAGATTATATGTATATACATCTAACCGTATGATCATTTATGCAGAGCCCCGGGTAGGGTGCCTAGACATATTAACCACATGTCAATGTGAAGCCTCAAATAGCAAGAGATCCCAAATCAAGAGCGTAGGGTGACTTTGTCTATTGGTCCACGTACGTGCATGTGTACTGTTTTGTTTATCTATCTGCGTTTTCTATCTCATGGCTGCAGATGTACATGCATGCACATATGCTTACAACTTCACCCATAATCTTCCCGTACTTCTGTCTGTCCTGGAGTCCTGTCTGTCTGCCTGCCTGCCTGTCTGTCCGTCTGTCTTTCAGTTTGTTTGCCTGCCTGCCTGCCTGCCGCCTGCTTGCCTGCCTGCCTGCCTGCCCGTCTGTCTGTTCGTCCTACGAGGTCTGTCTGTCTGTTTGTCTGTCTGTTGGTTGTATGTATACATGCCTACATGTTTTGGCATATATCGAACGCAAATATCGTTCTGTGTTAAATGGATACTGGGCTCTTGCGGTATGCCGCCCTCCGACGGAAGGAAGCTACAAGACGCCCATCGCTATTCTGAGATGCAGCCGCTTCTTCGCAGAGGACCGAGGAAAACTTGCAACCTCCCCCCCATGAATCTCGTTAAGAATCGAGAAATACCAACCAGGTGCTGAATACCCAGGTACAGTAGCAAGTATGTTGCGCAGTTGACATTGTCAACCGTATACACCGTATAAACCCTGAGTCTCAAACCCTGAACCCTCAAGCTAAAGCCTTGAGCCTCAATAAGCCTCTCCTGAGGGTCCATGTACCCAAATAGTATATACTTTGGCCTTAAAGTAATCAGTCCCCAAGGTAGAAGAAGGTAGGTAGCAGGTAGGAGAAGGTAGGCAGCAGGTAGGAGTGCGTAGCAGCCAGGTAGGGGCTTGCTGTGCTTGCGGTTTAGTTCTTAAAATTTAGGGTTTAGGGTTCAGGGAAACGGCTGAGGGTTTAGGTTTAGTGCTCGTCAATCTGTGTGAAGTTAAGTATGGGTTGCTACACTTGAGACCCCAACCACGAAGAATGAACGAACATGTCCGAATCCTGTAGAAGTCTGAAACAAAACCCTAAACCCTAAACCCGAGCTGCCAAGCGAGGATCTGCAAGATTTGAAGTTCTATTTAACGCATAGATCTCCACACTCTAGGCCCTAAACCCTGAAATCCGTAAACCTCTGAACCCTTAAGCCCAAACTCGCAACCTTAAACCCCAGTCGTTACATTAGATGGCCCCGATCGTGCTCCGAAGAATTCGGTTCTCTGGGGGAGTAGGGCTCAGTATGCGTGTATGGCGACTCTAATGTACACAGTTCGTACAACGTATGTGTCTCATCAAAGGGGAAAAGGAGGGACCCTTAATGAGGACCCCTAGGTATATACCCTTAATATAGCTATGATATAACCCATTCTATAGCCCATGATAGGGTAGGGGTCCTCATTAAGGGTCCCTCCTTTTCCCCTTTGAGTCTCAGTTCTAAGGTTAGCTGGATGGGCCCCTAATATGGACCCTTAGGCCTTCTTGGTGTTCTTCTGGTTGACTCTTAGGACTTTAACTTTTTGGGTTTCTATATGAACTGTAATAAGGAGGCTAAAAGTTTAACTTTTAGGAGGGGTTCAGAAGTCAGCCAGGTAATATGGACCCTTAGGCCTTTTCGAGGGAGCTCTAGGGACCGTTAAGAGTCTATACAGGGTATATAGTAGGTATTTAAGCAAAGGGCCCATACTAGGGGCCCAGGGTTTCAACCGTTGTTGCAGGGATTTTAGATTTTTTGGGGCTTTGGGCCACTTCAGAGACCGGTCCCAAACCCTGAAGCCGCGTCTGGGAGATTGTTCTTCCCAGACCCCCGGGAGGATCCAAAAAGTAGATCCCTCGATGGGGGTTCCGAAAAGGACCCTGAGGAGTATAGGGCCCCAAATTAGGGGATCTACTTTCTAGATCCTCCGGGGGTCTGGGTTCAGACTCGGGTAGGTAACCTTCAACCTTCTAGGGCTTTAGGGGTATTACAGTCCCTATATAGTTCCAAAGTTTTGCCTTTAGTTCCCCTACATACTATATAGCAACCTCTGAAGGCCCAAGTATCTACTTCATGGGTACATCGACCCGTTGGGTTAGTGATCAGTTTTAAGTTGCATCCTTGTGGTATCCCGAGATGCAGCAACAGTTCATTCTGCTCTCCAAGCTCGTCGAACTGCGTAGTCTGTGCTAGCAGGATGCGTATGACACCTCCGTCGACAAGACGCACCGCAGCAGTGCCGGGTCGAATGGAAACATCAAGGTGGTCTCGGGTGTCGACATCAGCCTCAAACTGAACCCCCAAGCGCTTGGCCCTTAAACTCTGGAACATTCGGATGTTGGTCTTCTGGTGCTTAAAGTCTCAGAGCTTGTGTTGCATGTCAGGGGTGGAGCTGTCATAATCTGGAAGAGGCCTATATGGGAGTTTCCGAAAATTGGGGATACCTTATTATGCGATCCTTATAATAAGAATCCTACTATGTAGAGCTTTAGATTAAGGTCCTCTATTTTCGGAATCTCCCAATTTAAGAACTAAAGTCCTTGAGGAGGCTTTCCAATGTACGTCCGTGGGGCCCATGAGTTTGCTCGGGATTTCTGAACCAGGTTGTCTGCCAGCTTCATATTCTTTGCAACCGGGGTAGTGAGTCAGGTATAGTTCAGTGATAGACGTAGTGGGTCGTCGCAGCCGTGGTCATGGTGGTCGTCGTTGCCGTCGTCGCCGTCGTGGCGGAGAGCAGGGTTGGCGTCTGTTTTGTGTATGCAGCTATTGCATCAAACACTATCAGCCATCTGTTTGGTGTTCTCAGTCTTAACCTAGCAGATCCACTCAGTTTGCGAGGGTCTGGATTGGGGGGCTTCTGGCAGCCGAAGATGGGAAGGTCTGGAATGGTCGGCGGTACCAATCTAGACCCTAGCAGGAAGACCAATCTAGACCTTCTCCATGTGGCAGCATCTTGTCACATGTTGTGCATGTTGCATCATGTTGCATTATCTTGTCGCAGGAGGCTGAGAAGGTACCATTTGATAAAAGGTAGAGACTGTGTTGTTCATTAGGTTTGCCATACAGTATCTTCCGACGGACATGGGTGTGGCATTCCATGATTCCATTTAAACTCGTCAACATCCGACGCAGGGTCTGTATAGGGCGAGGGTCTGAAAAGGGTCGTGTAACCCTTACGCAGCCAACCAGATTAGACCCCGGAAAAGGTCTAATATGGTGGTTGCCAATAGACCCCTCTACAAACTGAGGGGATCCTAGCAGTATTAGTGCTGCCGGTGCCGCGGACGAGGTTTTCTGACGACAGAAGGTACTTAGCCAAGGTGATCGCCAACGATATCGACCGAAGATGAACTTAGCAGAGATGGATTTCATAATTTAATGATGGTGACATAAACACAAAATGCTGAGTATCATGATAGCATACGTGACGATGAACAAGGCAATGACCCTAGCCCAGGTCAACGCTGGGCATTTTGGTCTTGAGAGAGATGTTGCTCATGGTTGTAATTTGATGAGGATAGCCATGCTGAGGGCGATGTTGATGATCATGTCGAATATTATGATATTGGTGCTGTTGTAGATGATGACGGTGGCGATGGGAATGACGCTGCTGCTGATGATGATGTTTTGCCGTAGATGATATGGTGACGATGGGGATGATGATGATGATGACGATTGTGCTGGTGACGATTGTCACGATGGTGTCGACGATGATGAGGTTCGTGACCAATCTCATGATCGTGTTGATGTGGCGCTGGCGGTGATGGCGAGCGTGCTGCCGATTGTTGGTTTGGACCTTGGTAGAGGGTGGTGCAAACATTATCAAACGATCAAGTTACGTTTGCTATGCATGCAGCTCTGATGTGATTGAAGTTCATGAGAATGATAATGTTAATTGTCCTGGTCTGTGTGGTGATGAAATGCAGATTAGTGGAGATGTTGGACAGAAGGCATGTTTCAGACAACCGTTCTACTCAAGTTTTATTCTTTAAAGCATCACCGCCCCGATGAGTATGATTGTACTTTGACTTCGGGTTAGTGTTCAATGGTAGATGCAGTTCCTACTCTCTGCAAATACCCTAAACCCTAAACCCTAAACAACTTGCCCACGAGAGGCGAATGAGCTCCTGGCGGGGACCCGTGCATCGCTGGAGGACATGTGTCCTGGCCGCAGCTTTTGAGGGTTTAGGGTTTAGGCCTTTTAGGGCTTATATAGGGTTTCGAGTTTAGGGTTTAGGCTTTTAATTTTTTAGGGTTTATATAGGGTTTAGGATTCAGGCTTTTTAGGGTATAGGGTTTAGGGTTTAGGCTTTTTAGGGTCTATATGGGATGTAGGGTTTGGGGTTTAGGGGGGGCCGGTTGTGGAGACCTCACTCGAAAGCAGCTTCAGCACGGAGCTACGAAACGTTCGTGAACATTGGTTCTTGTTTAGGGTTTATGGTTTAGGGTGTAGGGTTTAGGGTTTAGGATTGGTTCTTTCTCAACTGTATCCGCATCTCATCCTGCAGAAACTTCAGGCCCGTTCCTAAGCTCCTTTTAATCATAGGGACCCTTAGGGGAATAAGGGGGAGGGGGTAGGAGGCCATGCTTGCTTGCATTAAGGCCCCCAACCCCCCTCCCCCCACCCCCCTGAGGGTCCCTATGATTTAAATCCAAGGGGAACAGGAGGGACCCTTAATAAGGACCCCTAGGCAAGAAACCTTTAATATAACCATTATATAGCCCATTATAGGGAAGGGGTCCCCATTTAGGGTCCCTGCTTTTCCCCTTTGATTAAAGTGCTCCAACAGCTTGGGCTTAATAGCAACAGAGGCTTCAGCGACCGAGTGGCTGTGGTGTGCGTTCATGGTTGTAAGCCATTCCCTAAGGCCCCATGTACCCATATAGTATGCGACAAACCCCACATCCCCAAACCCCGAAGCCTTTGTAACACCCTTTTTAAGGTCGAAACTACATTTGACAGAAGATTATTATAACGCCCCCTACAATCCTTTAGGGTCCTCTGCAGCCCTGGTAAGACCCAGTCAAATCGTATAAACCCTAAGGCTCCATGTACCCATCTAGTGCATACTTAGGCCTTGAAGTACCTACATAGGGACCCCTTTAAGGCTTAAGTATCTACTAAATAAGGATACATGGAGCATTTGGGAGTACCCCTGAAACAATAAGAGCTCAAGCCTAGCGCTTGCTTTAAACGTTTGAACACTGAAATTAACACCTCCCCCTACTCATTTTCCCGTAAACCCGAAGCCCTGTTATGGTAGTCATCATTTTGTAGGTTTGCCACAAAACCCAGGATCATGGCACATTTGCTTGCTTTGGCCCACCTGGCAAATGCTCCGACCACCCAGCGCAACGCGGCGACATTTTTAGATTCGTGTCATAGAAGACCAAAAAGGGTTTTGGCCTATGAGGGTTTAATAGGGATTAGGGTTCCCATAATAGGAATCATATTAAAGAAAACCCTAAACCCTAAACTCGTCGAATCCCTACCCCAAGAATCTTATCCCTCCTTTACAAGTTTTAGGGTTTTCTTTGCAGGCTTCCGTAGGATTTTACAGTTTCATTTAAGGGGTTCCATGCTGGGTGCACGTCTCGAGGTTTAGGGTTTTGGCTGGAGGCGTTGCGCATGGATTTTGGAGGGTGTTAGTAGTTGTCTGCAGGGTGCAAGGAATGGCTTTATCATACTCATACTCCCTAGATGGTAGTTCTCTAAGTTAAGGATCCTCTTAGGTACCCCGAAATAGTTCGGCACTCTTATCAACAGGACCTTCAAGGGATCTAATGGAGAAGTCTTCCCATGTTCAGTCCGATACTTTGTACTTAGTAGTCGGTTTGGTACCCTCTTACCTTTCCGGTAGTACAATCCCAATGGTTTGCCTTTAGTTGTGCTCAAGCAAGCGCAGATTCGCACACGAGAATGAGCCTTCGCGTGACACACCCTACAGCCGGCTGTACACTCAAAACCCTAAACCCTTAGAGTAGAAGCCCAAAAGTTGGAAACCCCATAGCTTCAATCTTCAACAGTAAATATATAGAGAATCCCAGCACTATTTGGCCTTAATCCGGTTTCCAACTTTCTGAGGTTTACTGTAGGCCCATCAATCCCAATACCCTGAAGTATTTCCCAGAGCCTCCCCGAAACCGGAAATCAGCGCCAAAATCCCCGGATTCCTAAAGCCACGCTTTCCAACCAGCTTCTTCTGCAAAAGCTTAGTCCACAAGAAGAGCAGCTGCCCAAAAGCGGCCCAAACCCAATCGCTAAAACAACCTGGAAACCCTGAAACCTTTCAGATCTGAAGCCCCAAAGTCGGAACCCTAAGATCTAAACTTGGCGTTCTTGTTGTTGGCTCCTTAACTTTTTGAGTTTCTATATGAACTATAATAAGGAGGCTAAAAGTTTAACTTTTAGGAGGGGTTCAGAAGTCAGCCAAGGGTAAACTTACATCCAATAAAGCCATCGACACTAAATAGATTGAACCCAAGATTATCAAGGCGAAATTCTGGGGCCGTTGGTGGTATCTGCCGCCTCCCCGTTGCTGCAGGCGGGGATGTTCGGGCCAAATAACTTCGTCACGGCGATGATGACTTCGATGAAGACGGTGATGATGATGATGATTTTGGACGCTTTGATGATGATGGCTCCTGTGCTGCTGATTCTGCTTTTGTTGATGCTGATGATGCTATAGTTCTGGTGGTTGCTGCAATCTGTGTTGGCGGTGTTGATGGAAGGAAGCAGCACTAGGACCTAGAATAGGCCCTTATTCCCTTTTTTAGGGTTCAGGTTCCCTTATAAGCCCCTTTAAACAAAAAAGGGCACCCTTTTTATTCCTAGGTTACTCTTGGGTCTAGTACATGAGACCCCTCAGGCCGGGGATCCGAAATCCTACATCTTCGATCCCTCGAGGTGCATTTCGAAAGTATTGCCACGGTTCCTGACGGCACCCCTGATATGGGACTTTCCGAAAATAGGGAACCTGAATATAGTATCGAAAATAATAGCACCCTTAGTACAAGGACCCCAAAATATGGTATCCCCAATTTTCGGAAACTACCCCCTAAACCCTAAACCTTAGACCCTAAACCCTAGTCCCCTAAACCCCTAAACCATATTCTCAAAAGGCTTTGCCTTGCGTGTTGCACGCAGCGTGCAGCCTGCGCTGCCAGGGACTCCTACCCTTTGCAAACGCGGCCTCTGAGCACAAGCCTGAAACCGCAATCCCTAAAACGTTAAAGGGCTCCAAAAACGGGTTACTCGAAGGGGTATTTAAGGGGGGTCTTAGTGTAGGGGTCCTAGCCCCGAAACCCCATTCTAAGTCTGAAGGCCCCTATATCAGGTTTTGGTGTGTGTGTGTGTGTGTGTTTGGCTGAGAGTTTTGCATGTTAGTAGGCGGTTATATCCACTGGTTCATGTTTTCATTCGCTCCGAGACATGAACTCCACCCAGAGCCCTAAGCATAAACCATCCTGAACCCTTATGAGATCCTACACTGTATACAAACTTTAAACCCTCTAAAGCTGTTAACCATCTAAAGCCTTTACAGTCCTACAAGCTAGAACACCTTCATGCAACCTTAAACCCTCAAGTGCCATGGAGTTCCATAGCCAGGACGACGGCTGCATGCCTGAACCGACTGATGCTGTGCGTCGGCTCTATGTGAATCTGGGCTGGTCTCTGCCCGAGCGCCGCTTGGCAGGGCTTGGTGCCTAAAAGCACGGTTTGGGGTGCCGGTGCTCGTAAGGGTCTTGCTCAGTTTCTTCTTGCAGGCTTTATAGGGCTTCCGAGAGTTTTATAGTTGAATTAGAAATCTAAGTGTTTTTTTGTGGTGGCTCCAATTGCCCCGCCATGTTTCAGGGGAATGTATGCTACAGTCTGCTGTTATTTCGCGTTTGGGGAGAGCGGTGGACCTAGAGGGATTAGGGCTTTTACGTTTGAGGGTTTTTAGCTTGAGCCAGGCTTTAGGGTTTAGTTTACTTGTGGCCAAACCCTCCGAAACAAATGTTAGGTTATGAGCTCTCAATAAGAGGGTATAGCTCTTGACCACGGGCAGGCTGTAAGCCTTTCTCTGAGAAGCCAATAAACAAGTTCCACACAACCCAATGTGACCCCATGCAGCCAAGTTTTCGAAACTCCCTTTAGAACCTTCCCTTCAGAGCCGTAAATAAGACCCTAGTACACCCCAACAAACAGGGCTCTTTGTACTACTAACTGAAAGGTACTGTATGAGAACTGCTTTAAGGGATCTACCTGTTTGGCTCCTCCCAGAGGTCTACCCTAAACTCTGACGCGTGAACCCCTCTTTGAAACCCTAAACCCGAATCCCCAAACTCTCAACCCCTAAACCCTAAACTCAAAACCACTGAACCCTAAACCCTAAACCCTCTCATGCCCTATAGATCCCTTCAAGGGGGCTCTTCTTTGGGATCCTCCCAGGGCTCTTTCTGTGAGGCTTCGGGAAGATCATCGACTCGCGCGAGACGTGGAAACGACTGGCCTGGCAGCCTCGTTGGTCGATGGAGCGGCACCTTACCTTAGGGGTCCAGAGGACCCAATGATGTCCCTAAACCCCGAAACCCTAGACCCCTAAACCCCAAACCCCTAAACCCTAAACCGGGGTTCCAGGGTTTAGGGTAGGCTTTAGGGTTTATAGGGTTCAGACATAGGGCTGGCCTGGGATCCAAAAACTTATTGTGGCAGGGGTTACTTAGAGGTTCATGGGGCGTAGTAACTGGGGTTATAATCAAGGTATCTATACTTATCATTACTTATAACCCCAGTTAAGGTACTTGTAACCTTGCCTACTAAGTCCGATGATCCTCCAAGTATGCCCTGTACTGTGATTAAGGGGTCATGACCTACCGTTTTGTAGGGTTTGGGGCCACAGGTTAGGTTCGAAAGAGCTGGGTTTCGGGTTGAAGGTTTTTCACCCTACATTATAGAGGCTCGATTTGGAAACGTTGGAACGGTTAAAACTATAACATGCGGTCCCCTATTCTAGATAAACCTACCCTAATCGTTCTGCATGTACAGGCCTCTGTACGACACCTTTATAGCAATTGTTCTAGCGAGGGCAATGACAATTTTAAAAGGAACCCTGTCCCATGTATGCAAATCACACAGGCCTCTTTGTTCAACACGCCCAGAACCCCTAAGCCCCCAAACCCTAAACCCCTGAACCCTCTACACGCCTAAACCCTAAACCTCTACACCCCCAAACCCTAAACTCCTGTAACCCCGAAGCTCTTGAGCCCTAAATTCCTCTAGCCCCTAAACTCTTGAGCTCCCAGGCTGCAACCTGAAATCCGAAACCCCTACCCCAAGGCTCCATGGTACCCACAATAGGGTTCCTTTAAAGGGTTCCTTAAAAGGGTCCTTTAAAGGGTTCTATAGGGTTAGGGTGTAAGGCTCTGTGGTACCCATATGGTACATACTGAGGCCTTAAAGTACCTGTATAGGGACCCCTTTAAGGGTTAAGTATCTACTATAAGGGTACCATGGACCCTTATACCCTAAACCCTATAGAACCCTTTAAAAGAACCCTTTAAGGACCCCTTTAAAGGAACGCCTAAAAGGAACCCTTCAAAGGAACCCTATAAAGGTACATGGAGCCGTGAGGCTAAGCCCCCAAGAACGGACCCGAAACCGTGAGGTTTAGGGTTTAGGGTTTAGGGTTCTCCAGGCTGAAAAGCCCCCTTGCAAGACCCCTTAACTTCAGGTTCAGGGTTTAGGGTTTTTTAAGGTTTGGGGTTAGGGTTTTTTTAAGGTTCTGGGTTTTTAAGGTTTAGGGGTTAGGGTTTTGCTAAGGTTTAGAGGTTAGGGTTTATAAGTTTTAGGGTATGGGTTTTGGAGACCACGAGAAGCAATTGAGCAGCTCCCTGGGTTCAGGGATTCTGATGTTTATACCCTACCCTAAGGCTCCAAAGAGGGTCATGGGATCTTTGGGGGAGGGTTTGGGCTTTGGGGGCTAGGGTTTGGGATCTCACTATGAGGGTCCAGGAGCATTAGGGTAGGCCCTAGGCTGCTCTAATCGTATGTCGCCGAGGCTCCACAGCGACATTGAGAAGAATGTGAACCGCGAGCTCATTGAGTCGGGCTGCTATTGACTCTCTGCTTCATCATGTAAAGGGAACTCCAGAAAGTTGGAATATGGTTTCATGGATTATATTTTACCATAAAGGGCTTAGGATAATCATATTCCAACTTTCTGGCTTTTACTTTAGAGGTTGATGCCTCAACCCTGCGCCATCGGGGTTGAGGTTGCGGGGTTTCCTTTTGGAATGCCAAGTCAAGAGATTCTAATGTAGACCCTCAGCAACTTGCGACTGTTAAACTGTTTTGGGTGGAGGGGGCTTGGAAGCAGCATATAAGTAGCAGCAAAATGTCCTTAGAGCCCCCTTTGCAAAGCCCTCTAACTCTGATTTCACTGTACTGCACTATGCACCAACATCCTAGGACCTTTGGGGGGGTTGGGGGGAGGGGAGTAGGTGGCCCTAATACCTATAATAAGGACCTGCTGAAGTATAGTCCCCTACCCCCTTCCCCCCTACCCCCCCCACGATAAGACTACGGTTGACCCTAAACTATGGGAATTACGGTATATTCCTTTTTATGGGTAATGCAGGATTTACATCATCCTAATCCCTAAATCCCCTATAGATCCCTTACAGGAACCCCTTAAAGGTACCCTTATAGATCCCTTTAAAGGAAACCTAGGATTTATATCATCAGCCGTATCCCATGGCCATGGTTTGGGATTCTGAGAGCTTGCGACTTGACACCTCGTGGGGTTTCGAGTGGAAGCCATTGGGTTTCCGGCTCAGGGTTGAAGGTCCCTAAACCCAAAACCCTAATGGGTTCCTTTAAGGGGTCTCTAAGGGTTCCTATAAGGGGCTCCTATAAGGGATCCTGATAAGGCATCCTGAAGGGCTCCCACCATGGAATCATACCCTAAACCCTAAGCCGTAATGGGCTAAGGGTTCCTATAAAAGGTTCCTATCAGGGCTCCAAGAAGGGATCCTGAAGGGCTCTCTCTAGGGAATCTAGAATCTAGAGCCTCCATGGAAGCCCTCCACCCAGAGCCCCGAAGCCCTAAACGCAGGCCATAAGCCCTAAGCCCAACCCTAAACCTTAAGCCCGAATCCCAAGGCCCTAAATGCCCACAAAAGACCCTAAACCCTGATCCCTAAAAGGAAGCCCAAAAGGTCCCTTGTGGACTCCCTTCTAAATTAGCGGACCCTTAAAACCCAAAACCCTAATCCCGAAAACCCTAATCCCTAAAAGGATAGATCTATGGGGTATAGAGCTTCCGGCCTGGGGCTTAAGGTTCAGGGCTTCTGAACAAAGAACTTACTTGGATAGTTGCTGACTTCGGTTTAGGGATTTAGGGTTTAGAAGGGTTTAGAGGTTAAAAATGGTTTAGGGTTTAGGGTTGTCTTGCTGCTTCAGTATCGGTTACTACTACAGAGTCCTGAATGTTCAAAAGCTGGAGGCTGGTGAAAGCGATACCTAAAGAGTGAGCTTCCGGCGGGGGGGGGGTAGGGGGTTTGGGGTTGCGTTGCTGAGCCTTTCTGAGTCTCAAGGGTTTAGGAGTTGAGGTTTCAACAAATGTTTCGGGTTTAGGGTTCAGGGCAAGTTGGAACGTGCTTATCCTCATGGTTTAGGGCAGTTTCAGTGTTTAAGGTTTTGGGGTTTAGGTTTGCGGGTTTCGTATTGTGCTTGTTAACCATGTGAACTTTGTGTCAGTGCCCGTGGCCACGCGTACACCTATCGAACTGCACAACCTCAAATCACAGAACTTTGCGTGGAGACACTAGCTGCGAATTGGCACTGTAGTCCCATACTGTATGCAGCCCTACCAAAGCTTCGAAAAGATCAACAAATCCCAATGCTACTGCGAGTCCTTAGCTAACCCGAATGCCATGAAAAACCCTAGAACACCTTTGCCGCCACCCTGAACCGTACCACAAGGCCCCCGAAGACCCTGCACCCGACGAGGAAGCATGCCTGAGCAAGTTCGTGGCGAGGATACCGCTGAAGCGCCGACCGGCTTTTAGTACTCTTGTTTCAAGGCTCGTTTTGGGTGTTACAGAGGGTTGTAGGGTTTATATACCCTAAACCCCTAAGCCCTAAACCCTTTGCAAGTATTAAAGTCTTAACAAGTGTGCATCATCGGTTTTACCAGTCTGATGCGCGGAAAATCTTCGTGTTAAAGGTCGCCATATGGGAAATACAAGTGTTCTGTAGGGTGTCATATGGCTTGAGAAAGGTTCTTTGTAAGGTCCCATAGTAGTAGTAGTAGTAGTAGTAGTAGTAGCAGTAGCAGTAGTAGTAGTAGTAGTAGTAGTAGTAGTAGTAGTAGTAGTAGTAGTCGTAGTCGTAGTCGTAGTCGTCGTCGTCGTCGTCGTCGTCGTAGTCGTAGTCGTAGTCGTAGTCGTAGTAGTAGTCGTGGTAGTAGTAGTAGTAGTAGTAGTAGTAGTAGTAGTAGTAGTAGTAGTAGTAGTAGTAGTAGTAGTAGTAGTAGTAGTAGTAGTTATGGTGGTTGGAGGTAAGGCAGTGGCGCGGGGGCAGAGGTTGGGGCGTGGGAACGGCGTGGGAGTCGGAAGGGTTGGGTGGTTGGAGGGTGTGGGGGGGAAATGACCCACTGGTATTTGCCTTGTCTTGCCTTTCTGTCCTTTAGTAAGCTGCCTACATGTGTTTGATGCATCGCCAAAGGTTTAAAAGCTTTGGCATTTGCGGCATTTTCGCCGCCGTCGAGTTTAGCCACTTTAGACGCGAGCCACCTGCAAGTACAAACCCCAAAACAAGCCGATCACCCAACAGGGTATGAATCACAATCGGTGGAAGGTTACATGCTACAACTGTGGACCCTAAATCCTCGAATCTCAAGTCTTGATGAACCCGACAGCTCGGAGTCGCGAATCAAGAACCCTAAGTTCTGAGTCCTGGATAAACCATTATCGCCCTGTGCCCGAAACCCTGAATACCTGGGAGCCGCAACATGTCGATTACTGTGGAAGTCGGACTGTTGAGTGGCAAGACGGCTACAGTGAAAGCAGGTGTGAATGGAAGTGTGGCAACGTTGGGACATCGGGCGCAGGCAGCACTTGGAGTCGCAAAAGGGCGTTTGCTGGACCGGTCTGGAAATGTTCTTGACTCACGCGCAACGATCAAGCGCGCGAGGCTGGAGAATGGTGACTTTCTGACTTTGCACATAAGCAGGGTTCAAGTCAACAGATCGGTCCTTGCTTCTGCTGCCATCGTGGGTGATGGATCCGTTGTGACCTGGGGTGATGCTGCCTGTGGTGGTGACAGTAGTGCCGTGCAGGGTCAGCTGAAGAATGTGCAGCAGATCCAAGCCACTCAGCATGCTTTTGCTGCCATACTTTGCGATGGCTCTGTTGTGACCTGGGGTGCTTCTGACTTTGGTGGCGACAGCAGAACTGTGCAGGAACAGCTGAAGAATGTGCAGCAGATCCAATCCTCTTGCAGCGCTTTCGCTGCTATTCTTGGTGACGGGTCGGTCGTGACCTGGGGTAATGCTGGTTTTGGTGGCAACAGTAGTGTTGTGCAGGGGCAGTTGCAGAATGTGCAGCAGATCCAAGCCTCAAGCAGCGCTTTTGCTGCCATTCTCAGTGATGGATCGGTCGTGACCTGGGGGAAAGCTGCCTCCGGTGGCGATAGCAGTGCTGTGCAGGAACAGCTGAAGAATGTGCAGCAGATCCAAGCCACAGCATGCGCTTTTGCTGCTATTCTGGGCGATGGATCGGTCGTGACATGGGGTGCTACTGCCCGTGGTGGAACCAGCAGTGTTGTGCAGCATCAGCTGAGGAATGTACAGCAGATCCAAGCGTCTTTTGGCGCTTTCGCCGCTATTCGTGGAGATGGATCCGTGGTGACCTGGGGTGAGGCTCAGTCCGGTGGTTACAGTAGCGCTGTGCAGGATCAGCTGAAGACTGTGCAGCAAATCCAAGCCGCTCTCAATGCTTTTGCTGCTATTCTGGGCGATGGATCGGTCGTGACCTGGGGTGATGCTCACTCCGGTGGTGACAGCAGCGCTGTGCAGAATCAGCTGAAGACTGTGCAGCAGATCCAAGCCACAACATGCGCTTTTGCTGCAGTTCTGGGCGACGGATCGGTCGTGACCTGGGGTGCTGCTGTCCGCGGTGGAGCCAGCAGTGTTGTGCAGCATCAGCTGAACGATGTACTGCAGATCCAAGCATCTTGTGGCGCTTTCGCTGCTATTCGTGGAGATGGTTGCGTCGTGACCTGGGGTGATGCTCGCTATGGTGGTGACAGTAGGGCTGTGAAGCATCAGTTGAAGAACGTGCAGCAGATTCAAGCCACCTGCAAGCGAAACCCCTTTGGCGCCTTTGTCGCCATTCTTGGTGCCGGATCCGTCGTGACATGGGGATGCGAAAGCCTTGCCCCAAGTCGTGCAGTGCGGAATCAGCTAAAACACTCGCAGCTCCGCGATGTACGTTTCAAGGTTTAGGGCTTAGGGTTTCGGCCCAAAAGCGTTTGCTAAGGCTTCCTTAAAGGGCTCCTTAAAGGGATCTATGGGGGTTCCTTAAAGGGATCTATGGTGTTTAGGGTTTAGGGTCTACTTGAGGGGCAGGGGACTTAGTAATTCGTTTATAAGTCGGGTTTGAATTGGGGTAACTCCATTTAGGGTACTTGTAATTCTAGTTATAACCTACTTACTAAGTCCCCTGCCCCTGCAAATAAACTACCCTAAGGCTCCAAAGAGGGTCATGGGATCTTTTGGGGGTTTGGGCTTTGGGGGCTAGGGTTTGGGATCTCACTACGAGGGTCCAGGAGCATAATCATTAGGGTAAACCGTAAACCATAAAGCTCCTAACTCTTATGGTTGCTCACGGCATTTTGGGGTTTAGTCTTTGTTGCCTTTGGAGCTTCCAAGCATTCTTCCGAAGCACCAGGCAGAAGCTACTAGTGTTTAGGTTTCGGGGTTGAGGGTTGAGGGTGTCGGGTCTCATACGGTTGATGATATAAATCCTGCATTACCCATAATAAGGAATATACCATAATTCCCATAGTTTAGGGACCTTAAGGTAATGCAGGATTTCTATCATCAACCGTAGGGTGTTCTTTTCCTTTCGGTTGTTGAGGGGCCTGGTCGCTTGGGGGTTCGATGCTCCATCAGTGGGGTTCTGTGCTGAGGCCTTACCCCTACATAGCCTCAAAAGTAGTTCCTCTTTGGGGTTCATATATAGAATCCTATAAGATAATCCCAAAAGGAACTACTTTGGGGTCTCTGGCTAGGGTTTAGGCTTTGCGGTTTGGGCTTCCATATGGGAAAACAAAGTTTCTCATATGACCGGTGTAATGATGCAAGGACAAGCATGGGCAAGAGGGGAAGATAGCTTCGGGCCACTACGGCTTTAGAATTGGGGTGTTCAGGGTTGGGGCCTTAGGCGGTCTTCGTTTAGAGGTTGTAAGATTTACATCGACTGGCTTATATGGCAACGTTCAAAGGGTTTCCCGCTTAAGTAGTGTATTGGTCGAAGGGTTTTGAGTTTCGGGTCCAGGTGGTTTCAGGTGTTTAGTGATTAAGGGTTGGGCCTTAACATAAACTTGAGACACAGGGGAGGGATTATGCTCCTAAACATTGATCAAGGCCCTCTGGGTACCTGTAAGCCCTGTGTAGACCAAACTACCTGTATCCCCAAACCCTACAAAATAGGAGGTAAGGTCTAACCCCTAAAACGGTAGGTTTTTGGACTTCCAGGTCTCATCCCTAATCCCTACAAACCCACATATCCAAGCAATAACCGTTGAACTCCCTTCAGCCCTACACCCGAAACCCTTAAATCCATAGACCCTGAAACCCCAGACACCCCCAAACCCACAAACCAGAAACCATTCAGTAAACCTTACATCCGCACTTCAACCCCGAATCTCGAGCATTCAGGACTTAGGATTTAGGGCTGGTTTAGGGTTCAGGTTTTTGTTGTTACGACCGCGACTTACGGGTTTAAGATGTTAGGAAAGGGATTTAGGATCCAAAACCCAAAACCCTAAACCCTAAACCCTGAAACCTTAACCCTAGCCCAGAGGGTCCAAGTACCCAACTAGTAGGGTTTTAGGTTCCAAAATCCATACTCTGAATGGTTTGTGGACCTTGAAACCCTACTATTTGGTCTCTAAACCCTAAACCCTAAACCGGGTACTCGGACCCTTAAACCCTAAACCCTAAACCCTAAACCCTAAACCTTGGAGCCTTGGGACCTGGGCCTTTCGAGTTTCAAGGTTTCGGGGCTGTAGGCTCTTACTTGGAGGGTCGGGGGACTTAGTAACTATAAGGGGGTTCCTTTAAAGGGGTCCTTTAAAGGGATCTATAGGGATTCTATAAGGGTTTAGGGTTTAGGGGGACTTAGTAACTGGTTATTTTAGGGACTTATAAGTACCATATCCCCAATTAGGGTCCCTTTTAGGCTACTTATAAGTCCACTTACTACCTACTTACTAAGTCCCCCGACCCTCCAAGTAGGGTCTACCCGTACTAGGATGCCCAGTAATACCCTTATTCCCTTTTTGTAGTCCCAGGTTCCTTATAAAGCTACCCAATACCAAAAAGAGAATCCTTTTTATTCTTAGGTTACTGGGTATCCTAGCGTTGGCTCCATAGTAGTTCCTTTTGAGTTTAGGGTTTAGGGTTAATTTTGGGGGTTCACATTTCGGATCCTCTAAGGTAACCCCCAAAGGAAACTACTATGGAGCCTATGGGTAGGGCTTTCGGTCTTTAGTATTTTGGGGTTTTCGAGTCCTGGCGTTTAGGGCTTGAGGGTTCCAAGGTTTGGGATTTAAGGTTTAGGTTTGGGGTGCCAGGGCTTTCCAGTGTCCGGATGCTTACACCAAGTCCTCCCAAACCCCTGAACCCTAATGACCCTGATGCCCAACCTTGAACGACAAGAGCCAGCGAAGGCACACGCGAATGCTTGAATTCCCATCCTGCGGCAGCCAGCTGTTACACTAAGAGGTTTAGGGTATGGATACGAGCAGGCGGTACGTTTTGCAAAACGCATACAGGCTCTCGACACTAAGCCAACCGGAACCCCGACGCCGAATCCTAAAACTCACGGCAAACCTCAGAACAATCGTCGTAAATCCTCTAAAACTCATGGGCCCACGGTAGAACAACCCTAGAAACCTCACATAATAAAACGGAGGCCCGAAACCCTAACCCTGCTGCGCCTTAAACCTGTAAATGCCGTAGACCCAAGACTATAGTCTCCTTAGGAATTATTTTTGTTTTTTGTTCATATAAAACCCAAGAGAATCTTAAGCATGTGTTTTATTATGGTTCTAAGGGGGTATAGAAGAACCCCAGAAAGGCGGAGCGATCATCATCTGAGTGACACTCGACCGTCGGCAAAAGCTTTGTGGCGTACATCCGAAAAGAATTTTTGGGACTCCAGAGGTTCGGGTTTGGGGTTTTATGGTTTCAGAGTTTGAGGTTTTTTTTTTTCGGGTTTGGTGTTTCTCCTAGTTTCGTTTGGGGGTTTAGAGTCTGGATTCGTGGGAGGTCGTGATATTGGGGCAAAAGGTTTGCCGTTTTGGGTTTAGGTTTCAGGTTCACTTGTAACCCCAAACCCCACCAGATACTGGGTGATGACCCCTTTATCGGTAATTCTCGCAAACAGCAGGTTTTTGAATTTGGACAAGTCGAATAATTAAAAAAAAACTTGCTGAGAGTCACTCATATTGCAATCCCTAGTGTAATTGTTACCCTAAGGGTCCATGTACCCAAATAGTATACACTTTGGCCTTAAAGTAGTCCCTATTTAGGTACTTTGGGGCCAATGTATGTACTATTTGAGTACATGGACCCTTAGGGTTAAGGCCCGACATCTGCTTCGAGGGTGTCGTCGCAAAAAGTTGACGGCTTGGGGGGACCTTTTTCCCAAGCACGCGCTCCTCTGCTCTGCAAAGGTCCTTGTGCCCAAATCCTCGGGATCTAAACAGTCCTAACGTATGGTTTTTTGATACCCCAAAAGGCCCCAAAGTCCCATAATAAGGAGTACTTCGGTTGATGGTATAAATCTGCATTACCTTAAATTATGGTATATTCCTGATTATGGGTCATGCAGGATTTATGTCATCAACCTGTTGGGCCCTCAGGGAAACAGTCTATGCTTTTACCCTCACGTTCTTTTGGAGACACCCTTCATGGCCTAGGTATTATCTGTGTAGTTTTTTCCAAATTAGGGTCCCTGTTAGGGTCCTTATTAAAATTAAAAGGCCGTCGCGCTATATTGAGGACCCAGTAAAAAACCCTAGTTTTGAGAACTACCCCTATGCTAAATTAGCACACGGACGGTTGTGGTCGGCCAAGGGCTTCTACGCTCGGTTTAGGGTTTAGGATTTGCTCGGTATCATTTGGGGAACTTTGAATTTCCTGATGACCTCTCAGAAGTAGGTATTCACGAATACTGTGCTTATTGTCGGCAGCTGAGCGTCTAGGTGGGCTGTGCCCGGTCCGCGCACCTTGCATAAGAACCTCACCACAGTGTTTCCGCACTGCTTGGGGAATGGATGACTGTTGATTCAGATCTGCTGAAATTGAGCCGTGGACAGGAAGCTGCAACTGCTGGGACCCCAGATGCTTCCAGGCATCGAATCCAAGGGATGTAGAGTCTTGGGTGGTATCAGGAGCCTTCTTGAAGTCAAAGTTTTCTCCTTGCTCCGCTCCCAACGGGAAAGCCCTGAGTAGACCCAGACCCTAGCCCTAACCCTCCTGAGCCCGAAGCTCCCTAAACCATAAACCCCTGAAGCCCGAAAACCCTAAATCCCTTTGAACCCTAAGCCCTTCAACCCTCAATCACAAGGGCGGCCCTTTAAAGATACTTGGGGGTACCGGGATCGTTTAGGGCTACTTTCTGCCCAGCAGGGGACTCAGATGTTTGTAGGGTTTTAAGTACTGCAACTACAACCTCAGTCCTAAAGCCCTCATGTTGAATGTTGCACTCAGCCAACCTAAACCTCTATTTAAGCCTAACGGCGTCGACAAGAATGGAGGCAACAAGCTTCCCAGATCTTCCAAAATCCCTCCATGAAGGATTGAATACACCTTAAATCATATTGGGAACCCTACTAGAATTTGGTGTAGCCTCCGTAATCAAAGAATATTGGAAGATCGGATATGACCTCACCGCTAAACTTAAACCAAAACCCAGGGGTTCAGGCTTTAGGTTATCAAGGCTTTGGGTTGAAGCAAGGTAGCCAGCCCCGAGTTCAAGTACACATATGCGCGCTTGTACCTACCACTAAAACTTCGGAACCGTCAAGTACGGACTACGAGAGAGGTGAAATCTGCGAAGGAACTCCAACAAGGGCATGGAGCATTGAAACACGACACATGACCCACAAGGGGCATTACTTGCATCACCCTAAACCCAAAACCCTAAACCATTAAGCAGGGGTTTAGACGTCGAAAGGTGCAGAGTTGGTAGGGTTCAGGTTGTTCAGGGCTGCACTTAGGGTTTAAGATGTTAGGGGTTTGGGGGTTAAGAGTTTAGGGTCAGGGTTTAGGGAATTTGGGGCTACTGTGGGGTGTCGCAAACGGCTTGTTGCAGAACACGCAAGCATGATCTGCACAGGCAGAACCACAACACACAACATGCATGTTTCCACCTGAACCCTTCACCTTGAATCAGTCCCATCATGATACCCCAGACTATTGGGAGGATCTAGAAAGTAGATCCCCTAATCTGGGGCCCTATACTACTAAGGGTACTTATAGGAACCCCCCTTAAGGGATCTACTTGTTGGATCCTCCCGGGGGGTCTGTGTAATTACCCCAAACCGTTCAGCCCAGAGACCCTCAACCCTAAACCCTAAAGGGTTTAGGGTTTAGGGTTTAGGGTTTAGGGTTTAGGGTTTAGGGTTTAGGGTTTAGGGTTAAGGCCCCAACTCCTCTGCCTAGGTAAAGGTTCTGCAACAGTGGGTCCGTTCCGCATGGAGCTACTTTGAGGCCGTCGGCGTTTAGGAACCCAAAAAGGACATAAGCATAAGCATTTTGGGGGGATATCCCTGCCTAACTGTGCCTTGTTATATGTTGTTGTTTCATGGGATGTCCCTATCCTTATCTTTGCTTATGCAGTCACGCAGCACCGGTTTAGGGTTTTGTGGTAATACCTATGTTCACTCGAACCATCCAAAGGAGTGTAACTTCTTCAGCAATTGGACAGTCGTCAACCCCACACAGTTTTACAGGTGCCACGCATTATACTTGCATCAGTCGCGTGTGTACGTATGCATGTATGAGCTGTTGTTTATATGTGTGAGTATTTGTGTATGTGTCTACGTACGTATGCGTGTAGTATGCGTGTGAGTGCCTGTGAGCGTGTGTGTATCTACCTGTCTACCTACCGCACATCCGTTGCAGCTTGTGGTGCGGTAGGGTGAAGAGCTGTGTAAACAAGATATTCTCATGGAATTATCTCCCAAAAGATCATATCCATTATGGTTTTCGGAACCCACTTCCACAACAGTATATATGGTCCATCTTGATAAGCAGGAGCTATATGTACCTAGACCCCCCCTCTTTAATCTACCCTAAATACGGACTCTATTAAAGGGCACTTGGGGGGTCCTGGTAAGTAGGCGTTTTCGTGGCAATACAGGGGCCTAAGTTCTTAACAGTTACCGATGCTATTTTGCGGACCCTTAGTATAATTACAGTATCAGTGGCCCCCAAACCCTGTTCTAAGTACTATATGGCCCTTTTTTGGATCATCGCATGGAATCCAGCCCAGCGCCGAACGCAGCCAACACAGCTCAAGCCTGCTAAGTCTTTTAAAGGGTCCTATATAAGTTACGGGTTCCTTAAAGGCTTCCTTTAAGGGTTTAAGGGTTTTCCTAAGTACCCCTATAGTAGAATGCAGGGTTTCTAGGCCATGTCTGGAAGTTAAGGATGTCAAATGTGTTTCTAGATGAGGGCTTTGAATGGCTTTAAAGGTTTCGCTTCGAGGTGTTATGACGGCTCTGTACGAGTTTGGGGCTCAAGGGTCGTAGGGAGTGTACTTAGTACTTGTGAGCTGGCAGACACTCAGTTCCCAGACGTGATCATAACCCACTATTTTGCTAGGGTTTGGGGCTGAAGATAACCCAACCCCCAAGGCAGGCTCTCGTGAATGCAGTGGAAGTTGTCATTTTGACAACAAGCCCCATGCATAACCATGGTGAAAGCTTCGACTTTGACGAGGTGCCTCAGGAGCCGGGTTTAGGTTTTAGGAGTTTAGGGTTTCGGGTGCTCGGGAGTCTTAATGTCGGAACGGGGTTAGGGCGTTGCTAATGTAGGAACGTGATTAAGAAACCCTGGGCCTATAACCCCAAAATAGTGGGTTTCATGTAAGGAATCCTAATAAGAGCCCAAGGTTTCTTATTCAGGCTCCTACACAAAAACGTTGAAACTGAAGTCACTGTAGAGCCCTGCAGGGTTTGTATTGAGCTTTCTGTTGGGGTTGATTACGGCCCAGAAGGCCGTTGAGGGTGTAGGGTTAAGGGGTTTAGGGTTTAGGGCGAAGTTTTCGGGGTTTCGGTTTCAGGTTCTCTTGTAAGATCTGGAGCACAGCAACAGTAATAAAAGAGTAAGGCAACTTGGCCCGAAACATTGATCGCCCCAATGGAGCTCCGTATACCCGTACTTACAAAATCCCATGTTATTCCACGTAGGTTTTGGCGTCTAGAGTTCTGAGTTTACCCTAAACACTCAAGGCTCAACCTACTAAACCCTATTCCTTCTTCAACCCTAAACTCTAAAGCCCTTAAGCCCAAACCCGATTCAAAAATCCCCTTAAATCCTACCTGTAGCTCCAAACCCTACAACACAGTCTTTTGTGACCCCTTCATCAGAGGCTATCCCTGAAAGCGGTAAATTTTGGATCCCCAGGCTAACCCTGACCCTAAACCCTATACACCCTAAACCCTGGAACCCTCGAGCCCTAAACCCTTAAGCCCTAAGCCCCAGAACCCGAGAGCCCTGCTAACCCTGACCCTATGGAACCTTTAAACCCTAAACCTATGTGTCGCAGGAGAACAGGAGCGATAAAAACAAAAAAAACTTGCCCAAATCCCTGGAACCCAAGAGCCCTAAACCCTCAACCCTGGAACCCTGAAGCCCTTTCAACACCTTAAACCCCAAACGCTAAACCCTACCCTAAACAAGTCAACCCTAAACCGTATTTGTAGAACCTCATCCTGAACCCATGCTCAGGAGCGAGGGTGGTTGGACACCAAGCCTTACTCTTCCGAGGTGCGTTGAGCAGTTGGGGTCTAGGGGTTCAGGGGCGAAGGGTTTCGTGTTTAGGGCTTTAGGGTTTAGGGGTTTAGGGTTTCAGTGGTGAGGGTTCTCGGGTTTTAATTTGGGTTTAGCTATCAGAAGTTTGGTCTATGCCGTTTTTAAACTCTGGATTGCTACACCATACCTGGGGATCCGAAAACCTATCGTTTTCAGGGTGAGACCCCATGATTAAGGGGTCATTACCCACTATCTCGCAGGGTTTGGAGCTACAGGGAAGCCCTAAACCCTGCAGCCTGATCCTAAGCCATAATCCATATTCCAAAAGCCGATATATATATATATATATATATATATATATATATATATAGATATAGATATAGATTTAGATATAGATATGTACGTACGTACGTACGTATGTATGTATGTATGTGTATATGTATATGTATCCATAGAGGTTCGCCTGGCGGGCTTGGGATTCCAATTTTAGGGCTTCTGTGGAGTCTAGAGTCTAGATTGTTGTAGGTTTTCTACTAGGTATGGCCCCCTTACAGTAAGAGTCTATAATAGGGCTACTATTACGGTCCTAATATATCTATGTTGTGAATATTCTTCAACTATTACTGAGTGGGGGCCGTACCTCAGGTTTCTAGTGTTCTGGGGGAGGGGAGGGGGTAAAGTAAAGGGTGAAGCGTCGTAATACGGACTTCGGAGTATTTATTCTTATCTAGCTAAGAAACATGTTTGCTCTCTCCTGAGTCCTGCAGACGGTCCAAACCGCAAGATTTCCTGCCCTGGCAAAATAGCGGCTTGAAGGATTAACTACTAGCAAGAGTAAGAGTACGACACTATGCCCGACTATAATTGCCCTATACTACTATACCTTACTAACACATATACGATATACTAGACTAGACGATACTACACTATACTTTGCTGTATATTACTAACTTCAAAAATGGAAGCCTGAATAATTTGCATTCTTATTCCTTCGGCAAAGCCCTGCTGTAACTACTAAGGCACCCAAACTGCACCTCCCGAATACCCTTCGGAATCGTCTCGGGAACTTACGATAAGAATCCTGTTCTATCCGGCGAGGCTCGTACATTTTACAGTGTGTTGTTCTGCTTCTCGAGGTGGAGTCTGACTTCACGGAATGTTCTGTGGAGGAAGCCCGCGACCCTTACAATGCGACTCACTTTCAAGCGTAGGCAAACCCTATATCCACAACCCTAAACCCCCAAAACCAAACCCCTAAACCGTTCAGGGTTTGGGGCTGGGCTGAAGGACCTAGGATATAAATCAGGCTGCATTGTAGAGTTTAGTAACAGGTAGTTCATGGTGTACGGTGTGCGGCTGAAGGCTTAAGGACCCAGGATCAGGAGTTAGGATGTCGTAACCTGGTTTTGTCCCTAAACCCTAAACCCTAAACCCTAAACCCCTAAACCCTAAACCCTAAACCCCTAAACCCTAAACCCTAAACCCTAAACCCCTAAACCCTAAACCCTAAACCCTTAAACCCTAAACCCTAAACCAGGGACTCGGCTTTCAGGCTCTTGGGGTCTAAGGCTATTGTCTAGGGTTTGGGACTTCACGACCTAGGTTTTAGGGTTTAGTGTGTTGGAATATGGCCCAATGTTGGCATTCCACCCCTAACGCCAGACGATCCTTGCACCCATAAGCTTTCAAAAGGAAGCTTTTCGAGCCATGGTTACATGACAAGCCTCAGAAGACCCTCCTATGTGTAAACCCCAGGCGCTCCTGCCGTCACCAAACAGGCAACAGCAACGACACGTCTAACACCCTAAACATGAAGCCTTAAGCCCTGGACCCTACGCCGGACAGACAAGTTTTAATGTTTTTTTGGGGGTACTACGGTTGACGATATGAATCCTGCATTACGTTAATAACCCTAAAATATGGGAGATATGGTATGTTCCTTCATCTGGCTAATGCAGTTTATATATCATCAACCGTACTACCTCTTGTGAGAAGTATTCAAGTGTTCAGGAGACTTAGAAACTTTGCTTATACAGAAGCTAGCTATACCTATAACCAGCTGTAATCCCAGGCAGCGTACCTTTGACCGTCGCTACTAAGTCTTCTAAACCTTTTAGATCCGATTCAGGAATCTTTTAACTTACTAACTCCCATGAACCTCCAACCCTAGACCCAAGTCATAACTGTACGTACTAAGTCCCATGAACCTCCAGGTAAGCCAACATCGGGCCCCTTTTAAGTTTGGTCTGGGGTTTATAACCAGGTGCCTTTAAAGAGGATGCCCTCGACCTTGAACCCTTGGGTACTGCCCCCACTCTGCAGTAGTTGGCTAATCTTACACGGGGCAGTGCCCAGTCTCCCAGAGACTCCAACGCCAACATCCCTTCATTAAGGAATTCTCCTTAAACCATGTTAGGGATCCATCTATAATCCATGGTCTATTCCTTAATTAAGGGATATTGGAATCTTTGGCCCCTGACCCGTAAACCCCAAACCTCTAACCCCTAAACCCTAAACCCCTAAACCCCTAACACCCTAAAACGCCTAAACCCCTAAACCCAAAACCCCCAAACCCCTAAAGCCCCTAAAACTCAAAGCCCAACCGAGGGCAGCCTCGATCCTCACTCCATTCAGAACTCTCTGGAGCAAGCCCTGGAGCCGTTCCTAGAGACTCGGCCTACTATCGGGGCCTAAATCTTATGGGCTGTAAACTCAACTTTTCAGCTTTTGGGGTTCTTATAACGTAGTCGATTCTGAAAGTTTCAACTTTTTTTCCCTGGGGTTTTGGGCCAGTGAGAAATACCTTTAAAGGGATCCTGAAGGGTTCTTTTAAGGGATCTGCAAGGGATCTATAGGGTTTAGGTTTAGGATACTTGGCATTCTTCTGGTTGGCTCTTAGGACATAATCAGGAGGCTAAAAGTTTTTTGGTTTAACTTTTAGGAGAGGTTCAGAAGTCAGCCAAGTTTAATTACCAAATACTGTTTTGGGGTTCTTTCGTCTTACAATCATAGTAAAATGGGCCCCATAAACCTTGTTCTCATTAGCAAGGCCTGCATTAGGGCTTTAGGGGTTATTTAGGGTTTAGAGTCTTGTGTCCAGGATGTAGGGAATGGAGTCTAGCAGTTTTTGTCCAGCAGGTGTTGGGATCTGGGGTTAAGCGGTTACTGGGTATCAGGGTTTTATGAACGTGGCAGAGGAGCTGCAGAGGTAGCCTTTAACTTTGTAACCGAATAACAGAAGTGATGTTTTCGTTCGAGGCACTCAGTCCTAGGAGGGTAATGCAAGTTTACAGATGGCTTTCATACAATACAGGGGTGATAGATAGTGGTATACCCCAAAGTTCTCGACTACAACCACAGTCTAGTCGACAGCCAAAATGCTACACAAAGGCTCATGGGACTTAGTAACTACGGTTATAAACAATATAACCATACTTACAGTCACGTCTAACCCCAGTTCAGGAAGTTATAACTGTACTTACTAAGTGCCATTAACCTCCAATCCCTAAGGCTCCGTGTACCCATATAGTATACACTCAGGCCTTAAAGTACATATATAGGGACTCCTTCAAGGCTTAAGTATCTACTGCAAAGGTACATGGAGCCTTTGGGAAGTATCCTGAACCAAAGGGTCTTATGTACTGTTATGGGGCATACTTCCCTAAGTCACAATAGTAATTCCTAATATGGAAACCCTACATTCTACTGTATCGGTACATAGGACCTTTTGGGTGAAGGGTCCAAGTGCCCAAACAGTCGGGCATCAGGTGCCGAAGGCCTGCCGAGCACACTGTTGCTACGCACCCAGAGACTCCAATATCCCTTAATTGAGGAATGTGCCCTCCATTTTTGTAGGATCACTTAATGGAGGAATATACCCTTTATAGTAGGAATTAAGTAAAGGTATATTCCTTAATTACTCCCAGGATCTTGTTATCTCTGGCTACCACTAGCGACCTCTTTCTTCGTGAACTAAGCTGGCAGTATAGTATGGGAGTTTCCGAAAATTTGGGGTTCCTTTAAAGGGGGACTCTGAGGGTACTATGAGGGTTCCTTTTTTAAAGGGTTTAGGGTTTAGGGTAGCTTATTTTGGGGCTCTTATAAAAAGGTGCCTACTACATATTTAGTGTACTCTGTATTAGGGTCCCCTATTTCCAGAAACTCCCATATAGAAACGGTGACGAAAGGTCTTATGGGGTCCTACCCGGTTGCATATACAGGGAGGTTAGACTGCTCTTGGGGTCCTTGACCGACGCAGTCCCTTGATAATCTGTCGACCACGAAAAGAAAATGCTTCCGGGATCCTTTTTGTGCTAGAGTCTAAAGATCATGACATTGAGCTACAGGTAGGCTTAGAACCCTAAACCTTTAACCCTAAACTCAGGAGAACTGGATTGGGATCCTGACGGCGATGGATGCCACCAGCCCAGATATTTTCCGCGGGATCCCAGTGTATCGGGCGCTGCAGCGCGCACCTCGAAAGTGGGCGCATGGGGACTACGAGGGCATGCATGCTCTTAGCCTGAAGACGACGTATGTTCACGAGTTCTGGTCCCACAGCTGGCGAACGAAGGAATGGCTGAAGTATCTGAATATACTGTTCCTGAACAACAGCTTTCCAGCCTCCGTTTTTGGCACGATGTGTGCCCTTCTAGCATTGTTCTTGAGCTTCACTGGGCTTTTGCCGGTTTGGGCAGGCGACAACACGGGATATATTTGGTGCACTCCGGCTGGCATACTTGGCTACTACACGGCTTTAGTGCTCTGGAGGTCAAAGAAGCTGGCTTTCCTCGATATTGCCTGCATAAATCAGACGGATGCCCGCTTAAAAGCAGAGGCCCTGGTCAGCATCTCGGCTCTTATTAACTAACAGGTTTGCTTTCCCTCAAATGAAGATAAAACACAGATAGCATACATCACATGTGTCCCTTCTTGTTAATGAGATAGGTTCTTCCAAACTCTGTAGACATTTTCACTAATCCAGTTTGTAAAATCTTAAGTGAGCCCACAAGCCCTGAACCCTGCTAGTTCTTTCACATGAAGCCAGGCATGGGTGCTTTCCTGAAAAAGTCCCAGTCGCTCCTGGTTCTTTGGGATGTGTCTTACGTGTCAAGGTGGGCTTAAGGGCTCAGTGCCACGTTCAGGGTTTAGGTCTAGGGGTGTATAACTGTATAAAAGCTTTTGTACCGTTGAGGAGGATTTTATGTCGGCTTTGGTTTTAGGTTCCAGCAGTTGGCCCTGACGTTTTGAGCTTTACCCTTGTTGGGCACCTTAAACCCTAAACCCTAAACCCCCTAAACCGCTCATAGCCCAAGGAATCACAGGCCTTGCTCTTCTGACGACTTCTCAATGCAGACTCTTCACCAGTAACCCATAATCAGGGGTCTACTTAGAGGTTCAGGGGACTTAGTAGCTAGGGTTATAACGGGCTCCTTTTAAGGGTACTATAGGCTTCTGTAAGGAGGCGTATTTATTTTAGGATTTTTTTTTTTTTTGCATTTTTTTTTTTTGGCTTGTGTGCGCGCTTGGCTTGGCTTCTCGGCTTCCCTGGCTTCTTGGCTTCTGGCTTCTTGGCTTTTCGGCTTCTTGGCTTTTTTCTTCGGCATAGAGAGCCTCATAAATCAGTCCTCGTTTCACGCCCTCAACCCTAAGCCGAGCCGAGGCGAATTTAGGTCAGTAAAGCGGGATAGGGGCCATGGTTTTTTTTTTCAAGGTGCGGCCTACCCTTGTTTGCGAGGTGCGGCCAAGGGTCCCTTGTGCATGCGGTCACCTAGTCCTCTGGTCCTTGGTCTTGTGGTCCCCTGGTCCTCTGCTCGCGGTCCCCTAGTCCTCTGGTCCTTGGTCCTGTGGTCCCCTGGTCCTCTGGTCTGCTGGTCCTCTGGTCCCGTGGTCTCCTGGTCCCCTGGTGCATGCGGTCCCCTAGTCCTCTGCCACAGCCACAACCACAACCACGGGATAGGGGTTAAAAACAAATTAAATAAGGATCAAAAAAATAAAATAAGGATCAAAAAGAAATTAAATAAGGATCACAAAAAAATTAAACAGGTATCCACGAAAGGAGGGGTGGGTAACGGAGGAAAGAAGACACAGAAAGAGAGAGAGAGAGAGAGAGAGAGAAAGAAAAGAAAGAAAGAACGAAGGAAAGAAAGAAAGACAGAGAGAGAGAGAGAGAAAGAAACATAAAGAAAGAAAGAACGAAACAAAGAAAGAGCGGAAGAAAGCAAGAAAGCAAGAAAGAACGAAATACATAAAGCATAGTTATAAGGAAAGAAAGAAATCAAAAATACACAAATAGATAAATAAAGAAAGCTATAAGGAAAGAAAAAAGAAAACACAAGGAAAGGACGAACGAGAGTTAGAAACAAAGAAAAGCAAATAATACAGACATAACGAATGAACAAAAATGGAGAAATAAAGAAAGACGAAATGACATAAATTAACTAAGATGTTGTTTTGTTTTATGTTTTCTTCTGTTATGTTGTATCGTCGTCTTTTATTATGTTATTATATGCTATAGGAAGCAAGGTTCTGCTATGTCAGAAAATGTCACACTATTTTTGTGATGTCGAACCATCTTATGTCGTTCTTATGGTTTACTATGTTATTTTATGTTATAGAGTGCTAACGGAAAAGAAGACACGAACAGGCACGGAAGAACGAAAGACCCACCGCCGCGCTTTTCGAGCCGTGCAAGCTTGATTCAAACAGTGTTTTCGAAACCCATCATGTGAGCGTTGTGTCTGCAAATGGGGGGCGCTGCGCCCCCCCCCAACCCCCCCGCTAACCAGAATCGCCAAATAAGGGGGTGTGTTTAAGATAGGTGATGAAGCGGAATACCAGCAACAGCTACAACACGAATTCCGTCCTAAATGCGAAATTGTAACGAAAATTTGATTTTCCCGAGGAACAACCAAAGATAACGTATGTTTTCCTTCTGAAAACCTGAAGAAATGACACGAATGCCATAAGTAATAGAAAAATGGTTTTTTTCCCAGGAAATACTAAGGAAAACTTGGAAAACACAGCGGAATCCGTAGGAAAATCATGTCTTCCAGAGGAGAAACCAAGCAAATCCTTAGGAAATGAAAGAGAATCCATAGGAAAACAGTGTTCTCCCTTGGAAAAATTCAAGAATTGCTGTATCTGAAAAGAAAGAAAGAAACGAAGACAGGACGAAAGAAAGAAAGGACGAGAAAAAGAACGAAATAAATGAAAAAGAAAGCAAGAAAGAAAGGAAGGAAGGGAGTATGAGATGAATAAAGAAAGAGCACCAGAAAGAAATACAAGAAATGAACGAGCGAAAGAAAAAATAAATCCAGAATAAACAGGCAAAGTTGGAAAATACGAAAGAGAAAGAACATGAAAGAATCACAGAAACAAAGATACAAGCAATAGGATACTACATAGTCCAATCGAATATGCAATAATATCGTAATGGACCCTAAAATATTTAGCATAATGTAACCTGATGTTATATAATATACCAAATATTATGTTCTATATATAAAAACTATATTGTACTATGTTACAATGTACTACACTATAAACTAAGATCTTGTTTTGTTCTATGTTATCTTCTGTTATATTGTATTGTCGTCTTTTGTTATGTTTATTAGATGCTATAAGAAGCAAGGTTCTGTTATGTCAGAAAATGTCACACGGTTTTTGTGATGTCGAACCATCTTATGTCGTTCTTATGGTTTACTATGTTATATTATGTTATAGAGTGCTAACGGAAGAAGAGACACGAACAGGCACGGAAGAACGAAAGACCCACCGCCGCGCTTTTCGAGCCGTGCAAGCTTGATTCAAACAGTGTTTTCGAAACCCATCATGTGAGCGTTGTGTCTGCAAATGGGGGGGGGGCTGCGCCCCCCCCAACCCCCCCGCTAACCAGAATCGCCAAATGAGGGGGTGTGTTTAAGATAGGTGATGAAGCGGAATACCAGCAACAGCTACAACACGAATTCCGTCCTAAATGCGAAATTGCAACGAAAATTTGATTTTCCCGAGGAACAACCAAAGATAACGTATGTTTTCCTTCTGAAAACCTGAAGAAATGACACGAATGCCATAAGGAAAACTAAGGAAAACTTGGAAAACACAACGGAATCCGTAGGAAAATCATGTCTTCCAGAGGAGAAACCAAGCAAATCCTTAGGAAATGAAAGAGAATCCATAGGAAAACAGTGTTCTCCCTTGGAAAAATTCAAGAATTGCTGTATCTGAAAAGAAAGAAAGAAACGAAGACAGGACGAAAGAAAGAAAGGACGAGAAAAAGAACGAAATAAATGAAAAAGAAAGCAAGAAAGAAATGAAGGAAGGGAGTATGAAATGAATAAAGAAACAGCACCAGAAAGAAATACAAGAAATGAACGAGCGAAAGAAAGAAATAAATCCAGAATAAACAGGCAAAGTTGGAAAATACGAAAGAGAAAGAACATGAAAGAATCACAGAAACAAAGATACAAGCAATAGGATACTACATAGTCCAATCGAATATGCAATAATATCGTAATGGACCCTAAAATATTTAGCATAATGTAACCTGATGTTATATAATATACCAAATATTATGTTCTATATATACAAACTATATTGTACTATGTTACAATGTACTACACTATAAACTAAGATCTTGTTTTGTTCTATGTTATCTTCTGTTATATTGTATTGTCGTCTTTTGTTATGTTTATTAGATGCTATAAGAAGCAAGGTTCTGTTATGTCAGAAAATGTCACACGGTTTTTGTGATGTCGAACCATCTTATGTCGTTCTTATGGTTTACTATGTTATATTATGTTATAGAATGCTGACGGAAGAAGAGACACGAACAGGCACGGAAGAACGAAAGACCCACCGCCGCGCTTTTCGAGCCGTGCAAGCTTGATTCAAACAGTGTTTTCGAAACCCATCATGTGAGCGTTGTGTCTGCAAATGGGGGGGGCTGCGCCCCCCCCAACCCCCCCGCTAACCAGAATCGCCAAATGAGGGGGTGTGTTTAAGATAGGTGATGAAGCGGAATACCAGCAACAGCTACAACACGAATTCCGTCCTAAATGCGAAATTGTAACGAAAATTTGATTTTCCCGAGGAACAACCAAAGATAACGTATGTTTTCCTTCTGAAAACCTGAAGAAATGACACGAATGCCATAGGTAATAGAAAAATGGTGTTTGTCCTAGGAAAAACCAGGGAAAATTTCAGGAAATACCACGGAATCCGTAGGAAAATCGTGTTTCCCCGAGGAAAAACCAATCAGATCCTAAGGAAATGAAAGAAAATCCATAGGAAAATAATGTTTTCCCTTGGGAAATTCAGGAATTGCTGTATTTTGAGTGATTCAATTTTGTTGATCCGTATTTTTTTTTTTATGCCTCTGCCCCAGGAATTGCTGTATTTTACGTGACTTAATTTTTTCATCATTGTTTTAGTTTTTTGACCCTGGTGCTTTAATCTTTTGATCCTTATTTAAATTTTTGTTGATCCCTCACCCTGTCAACCACAAGCACAACCACAACCACACAACCACAACGACAACAACAACAGCAACAACAACAACAGCAACAACAACAACAGCAGCAGCAACAACAACAACCACGACCAACAACAACATCATCAACAACACAACAGCAGCACAGCAACAGCAACAGCAACAACAACAACAACCAGGACGACGACCACGACGACATCAAGGAAACTCCGATGAACCCTCCACAGGGATCCTGCGCGTCGAAGCGCTGGCGCTGTGGTGCGGTGCAAATTTTCTACGTCCCCGATGAACCCTCCACAGGGATCGGCCAAGCAAACCACAAAAAAAAAATGCCAAAAAAAAAAATCCCAAACTAATTCCAGACCCCTTCTGTAATGGGGTTCCCTTTAAGGGTTTAGGGTTTAGGGTCTACTTGGAGGTTCATGGGACTTAGTAACTAGGGTTATAATTAAAGTAACTACACTTATATGTACTTAGAAACCCAATTAGGGTACTTATAACTGTACTTGCTAAGTCCCATGAACCTCCAAGTAAGCTACACACTGAAGATTACCCTGATGGTCCATGTACCTCAGCAGGACTCCACAAGAGCATCTGCTTAGGCGTTTCAGGGTTTCCCTGTTTTAGTAGCTGTAGGGGCTGAGCATGTACATGCATCCCGTTTTACCGAATCCTCAGCCCTTATGATACCCTTGTCGATTCTCTGTAGGAGCCTCACGGAATCCTTTCGGAATTCCTCCATCCCAAACACCACTATCCGATGGGTTTAGGGTTTAGGGTTTAGGGTTTAGGGGTTTAGGGTTTAGGGTTTAGGGTTTGTCACTATCCAAACCCCGAAGCCCAGCAAAGAAATCTCAAACCCTGAACAAGGCCGTTACGACACATGGGCCAGCAAGGTTAGGTTATGCTTTCTTTTCTGTGTTCTCCCTGCCCGCTTTTGTTCCAAGGGTAAAAGGAGGGACCCTTAATAAGGACCCCCTTAATATACCCTAACCATCGCACGCGAAACAACATGGGATTTCGCTTGAAAATGCCAATCGATTCTGCTGCGCTTGAAAATACCATGTGCGCTTGGCATTTTCTATCGGACCCGCTATAGAATCGGTTGGGATGCTATTTTCTCCGCTAGGTTCTCCGCTCGATTTTTGTCACCGATTCCGCAAGGTTTTTCATCAACGATTTCGCTTCGTTTCCAGTGCCCAGCACAACAAAAACATCGAACCCAACCCGGATTTCTGAAGCACACAGGTTTTCACAGAATTTCACAGGTTTTCACAGAATTTCACAGATTAGTCTGTGAAGATCTGTGAAAACCTGTGAAACCATAAATCGCAGGCTGCAAGCCCGGCCAACCACCCGTGCTCCTGAATGCTCCGCTTGGTTTTTGTTCCATTCTCCTATTGTTTCCCCGCTAGGTTTTTGTTTCGCTTGGTTTTCACAGAAAACTAGTAGATCCGCTTGAAAATATCAATCGGACCCAACCCGCTTGAAACTACCAATCGAATCCGTTTTTTTCTGTCGGCCGATGGATAGGGTAGCTATCATATACCCATTATATAGCCCATTATAGGGTAGGGGTCCCCATTAAGGGTCCCTCCTTTTCCCCTTTGATTTGTGGTTTCCCTGAACCGTAGGCCCCAGGCCCAAAAACGGTAAAGGGTTAGGGCAATGTTAAGGGATTCCCAAACCCTACTTAGAGGTTCCTTTAAGGGTCCCTTTTAAAGGGATCTAGGGGTTTATAACGGGATCTATAGGGTTTAGGGTTTAGGGTCTGCTTAGAGGTTCATGGGACTTCGTAACTAGGGTTATAACTAAGGTAACTACACTTATATGTACTTATAATCCCAATTAGGGTACTTAAAACTGTACTTACAAAGTCCCATGAACCTCCAAGTAAACCCTGTTAAGTGATCCTTCGGTTGACGATATAAATCCTGCATTACCCATAATAAGGAATATACCATAATTCCCATAGTTTAGGGTTCTTAAGGTAATGCAGGATTTATATCATCAACCGTTCTTATACCGACCTCTTTGAGAAGGCATGCCTGACACCTGGATCTTCCCTGAGTTTAAGTGTTTAGAGCTTAAGCCCAGAGACTCCAATAGCCCTTGTTTAAGGACTATTCTTTAAAAGAGACTCCAATAGCACTCTTTTAAGGGATATTTCTTAAATCATAGTCTGGATCTTATGGCTTTTTTTAAGGCGTATTCCTGAATCCTGAATCAAGGGATATTGGAGTCTCTGGGAGACCTGCCCCTGCAAGGCCACCCAGTCCCGTGTGAGTGCTCCCATGCGAGAAGTGTAATCGTGAAGGTTTAGGGTTTAGGGTTTAGGGGTTTAGGGGTTTAGGGTTTAGGGTTTAGGCTGTTATCCCACCTTCGGGGCACGGTGCAGTCACGCAAATTCCAACTTCCAATTCCGAGACTTGCCCCTGCAAGGTTGTGGTGCGTGTTTGAGATGGCGGCATTTCTGCACAGTAAGGGGCCGGAGGCAGCGACGCGTCTTCAGGTGGGTGGCTGTCAAAATTAAGGTACCTTTTCTTGGCGTTCTTCTGGTTGGCTCTTTAGACTTTAACTTTTTGGGTTTCTGTATGAACTATAATAAGGAGGCTAAGAGTTTAACTTTTAGGAGGGGTTCAAATGTCAGCCAAGTTTTTACGTCCTTAATATAATACCGCACCTACTATTTAGGCTGCCCCAAAAGGGTTTAGGGTTTAGAACTACCACCCAGGTGTGTCCAGTCTTCGTCGGCCCAGCTTTCTTGGCAGGGCATTTGGGTTTGAGCGTGCTCCTCTTCGTCTACCTCTGGCCATCTGGTGCCCAAGTTGTACTGTGTTTTCTTTTGCTTCCTTTCTCTAAACCCTAGACCCCTAAACCCCAAACCGTAAACCCCAAACCGTAAACCCCAAACTCTAAACCCTAAACTCTAAACCCTAGACCCTAAACTCTAAACCCTAAATCGGTGGGTGGGACAAAACCTTGGATAAAGCATTAGGCCGATTGGCCCTTAAGGGTTTAGGGGAAACCCTAAACCCCAAAACCCCTAAACCCTTAAGGGCCTATTCCACTTGTTTAGGGCTTAGAGTTTATTTCGGGTTTCGGATTAGCATCAAGCGCCTTCGGCAGCGCTTGGGGTTTAGGGTTCAGGGTATAGAACCAAAGGAAGCCAACAAGACACATTCGAGCACGGTCATAGGAAACCCTACGTCCAGGTCACAACTGCCCTACCGACACCCACAACCCCTAGGCCCTAAACGTCAAACACGAGTCCCTAGCCCTAGACCCGTAATGTCCACATCCTAAACCCTCCAACCCGGAAGCCCCAAGCCGAGAAGAAACCATAAACCCGGGCTCCTGAACAGAAACACACTAAGCCCCGCGAACCTAAACCCTGAACCCTAAACCTTAAACCCTAAACCTTAATTCCTAAACCCTAACCATGCTTAGGTCGCAACTTCCATTCTTTCCCTGGGCTGGCCTCATTCTTGGCGGCCTCGCCCTGCCTTGCCTGGGGCTACTGGCCGACTCTTGTTCTCCAATGCAAGCATACCCTAACAGTCCATGTGCCCAAATAGCATATACTTTGGTCCCAAAGTACCTATATGGGGACTACTTTAAGGCCAAAGTATGTACGATTTGGGTACATGGACCCTCAGGGATACATGTGGGTAGTTGTCCAAATGATGGTCACTTTTTGGGTTACCCTAAATAATAGGTGCCGTGTTAGATTAGGGACCCAAAAAGGGACCATAATTTTGACAGCCACCCACATGTATGTGTATACATACATATGCGATTATATGTATGTACACATCGTTGCGTACTGTATACATATATATATATATATATATATACATATATATATATATGTATGTATACATATACATACACACAGAGAGTTATCTTGTCTAGCTCTCATTGAGTATGTATGCTTTCACTCAGTATGTTTGCATATGAGCTACAGGCGTTTCTCTCCATACATAGGATTGGTCTGCGTGCCTACCCGGGCATCGGGATGTTAAAGTTTGCATTGCAGAACGAGCGCAAAATGCGACCCTCGGATAACATCAAGAAGAGCTTGTGCATCACGAGAGGTCCAATTCTGCATATTGCAGGTTGTTGAGATTGAAATCGATAACGAGGCGATAACCCGCCAGGTTGGTTTTGTAGTCATAACCACAAGGTGCCCGCATGGCTTGTTTTCTATGGGGATCTTCCAACTCCTAAGCAGGCCAGCAACTTGAAGCCCCAAGCCCTAGACCAGAGCTTTTCTTCAGCTGGTGAGACAGAAGTCAACAACTACGTTTCAGAACCTTGCAGCCTCTCAGGCCCAATATGTCTAACAGATCGCTTTTTAGATACATAGCTGGAAATCTTGCAGAACGATAAGAGGCCCGCCCAGAAGCCATAACCGAAATGAAGATTGGGAAGGCGGTCTCATAGGTTTTGCCGCTGGCTCATCTGTTCATGTGTGGGCTTTTTTATGCAGGGAGACAAGATAGATAGACACATAGGTAGAAACATCGACAGATAGATAGGATACGTTGTTCAAGATAGGACAGGATAGAGTAGGATATGGTACGACATGGTATGATAGGTACACATACATACACATTCACATATATAGGCACCATATATGTATATGGTGTATATTGATGTGGGCGTGTGTACATGTATGCAATGTGTATATATATATATATAAATATATTCAGAGAGAGAGAAGGTTTTATTATGTACAGACACCATCTGGTGTGTATATGCATGTATGTAAACCTGTTCTGACTTATGATATACGACGTATGTTATGCATGTGTATATGAATAAACAAGTGGAATGAAACGTCGTAATACTACGAACGATTTTAAGAAGAAGAATTTACATCAACAGTAATAATAACAATACTAATACTCAAAAACAGATATAGTAATGTATGCTTTTGATAGTACTAACTATATATATATATATACATATACACATACAAATTTATGTATATGTGTGTGCGTGTGCGCACGAGCATGTGCATCGGGGTTCTTATGATTTAGTACTTCGTGTCAGCCGTTTAGTGTTTGTCTCTTTCTGTGTATTTTCAGTAGGTCTACAAGTGTTGGACTTGGTCTACAGTGTGCTTCTGAGCCCCAAACCCTAAATACCCTAAGCCCTAAAAACCCTGAACCCTAAATACCCAAAGCCCTAGGAAAACCCTAAACCCTAAATACCTAAACCCTAAACGCCCTAAGCCATAAACCCTAAACCCCAAACCCTCAAAACCCTAAACCCTAAATACCCTAAGCCCTAAACCCTAAACCCTAAAAACCCTAAACCCTAAATACCCTAAAAACCCTAAACCCGAAATACCCTAAACCCTAAACCGTAAACCCTAAATACCCTAAACCCTAAAAACCCTCAACCCTAAATACCTTAAACCCTAAATACCCTAAACCCTAAATACCCTAAAGACCCTAAACCCTAAATACCCTAAACCCTAAAACCCTAAACCCTAAATACCCTAAACCCTAAAAACCCTAAACCCTAAATACCCTAAACCCTAAAAACCCTAAACCCTAAATACCCTAAACCTCAAAAAACCCTAAGCCCTGAGACCTCAACTCAGGACATGGTCCTTGCACACTGCCGGAGCATCGAGATGATGCAGCAACAACTCCGACACTTCCTCTCTGGGACTTAGTATAGAGCTCCAAAAAAGGCTCCTTAACGGGATCTATAGGGTTCCTTAAAGGGATCTATAGGGTTCCTTAAAGGGATCTATAGGGTTTAGGGGTTTAGGGTCTACTTGGAGGGTCGGGGGACTCTTCCTCTGTGCTCTTGTATTGGCCCCATACTGTTGATGGACAAAATCCTGCATGACCCTAAGGACTCTACACCATGGGAACTATGGAATATTCCTTATAATGAGTAATGCAGGATTTTGTCCATCAGCAGTACCAGCTGGAACTTAAGGTTGAGGGAGGAAAGGCCAACCACAAGACGTTGATATAGATTCCGGCGTGCCTTCAACCCATCCTTAGAACAGCGCTAAGGACACTTCACCATTGCGCAGGCCAAGTCTGCGTGCTGCTCTTGCGGTCACATCGATCCCACCGGTGCGCCGATGATTTGCGATCGCAAGATCATCAATCGCTGTATAACTGCTTGGTTCGGAGGCACAGAGCAGTTCGAGTCTGTGGTACGAGGCCAGGTGCTAGCAGAATTGGTTCATCAGCTCTCCAATCATGTCTTCTCGTACTGGCGCATCTGGGTCCCACAGAAATGAGCTTTCAGCCTCTGTATTGTGGAATCTTCTTTTGAGGCTGAACAATGGGAGAAGCGGATCCCCTGTAAGTACATGTACGTAGAAATTTTGTTCGTAGTATTATACCATGACAGTTGACCATCATTATGTTTCTCTAAGGGGATAAGCCCTAACCCCCCAAACCCCTAAACCCGTAAACCCCTAAACCCTAAGCTCTCAGATCATCGAGAACCTAACCCTAAACCCCAAAACCCTAAACCCTAAGGGACCTAGGCATTATTCATGTCGCAGCACCAGCTCTGTGGGCAATACTCGACGCTTCTTGGCGTCCTTCTGGTTGCGGTTCCCTTTTAAGGATGTTTTTGTTAGGGTTTATGGGGGGGTCCTTTAAAAGGGAGGGTTCCTTGAAGGGATCCTTAATGCCTCCTTTAAGGGATCCATAGGCTTTGGCGTTCTTCTGGTCTCGAGACTTTAACATTTTTGGGCTTATATACGGACTATACTTAGATAGTGAACAGGGGAACTTTAAACTTTTTGGCCTTATACATTAGCTCTATTATCGAAAGTTTGAACTTTTGGGGCCCCGGTTGTTGAAGAAGAGAGTATGATAAGGAGGCTCAAAGTTTAACTTTTAGGAGGCGTCCAGAAGTCAGCCAAGGTTTGGTGTGACAACTTCGGCCGAGGTACGTCCAGCAACTTGGTGAAGCTAAGGGAGCCGTTTTTCTTTAAGGAGTTCCCTTAAGGGGTTCCTTTATTGGGTTCCTGTAAGGGCACTACAAGGGTTCTATAGGGTTTAGGGCACAAGGGTCCACCTGCCCAAACAAAGTATATACAATTCGGGTACATGGACCCTTACTTAGAGGATCATGGGACTTAGTAAGTATGGTTATAAGTACCTTCATTGGGGTTATAAATAACTATAAGTATGGTTACTATATGTATAGCCCTAGTTACTAAGTCCCATGTAGGATAAGAGAGCCGTTTTCCTTTGTCGTGCTCTGAGTTTCCGCCAGGTGTGAAAAGGGAGTTCCTCATAAGGATCCTTTCTCTTCAACCCTTTAAACCCTAAACCCTACTAAGGGGACATAGATTAGATTCTGCGGGATGGTGTTGCTCTTGGTTGTTTTTGTCGCTGAAGCCCTAAACCCTAAACTCCTAAGCACTAAACCCCTCAAAACCTGACCCTAAACCCCCAAAAAAACTACAATAGGAAGCTCCTGGCTGCCCTCCCCCCGACTTAGGGTTTAGGGTTAAGGGTTTTGGGGTGCCAGAGATTTCAGGCATACCGACGCCATGGGAGGTGTTCAAAATGCTCTACGACATCATCGTATTTTACGTCTTGCTGCTGCCCACCGTATGTTTGATTCTGCTGAGGTTAGCCTATGCAGTTCGCCACCTTGGAGAAACTTGGGTGATCTGTTAACTTTCAACTTTCTTGAGCTGTTGTGAATGAGGTAAAACTCAGGAGGTCTTTCTTCCTGTAGGCCCCAAACCCTTCGCACTAAACGCCAAGTAAGGAACGGAAGTGCACGCAGGTGTTGCTCGCTGTAGGGCTCGTCGCAGTGGGATCGCTGCTTTTTGGCCTCTTTGTGGTTATGGATGTCGTGATTCGCGAAGTCCTCTTTGGTGGTGGCTAGGTTCTTGTTTAGGAACTTGATTTTGAGTACCTTAATAGGGATATGTGGTAACTAACATGGGTTCCTTAAGTCTTAAGTTAAGTTCGTCAACAAGAGCCCAGGTGGGGAAAGCCCGCTGTTTGCACTTGTCGTTGTGCCGGCGATGGGCTTACTCACCTGCTTCTTGTGGCGGCTTGGCACTTGCGCTTTCATGCTTTCAAGTAGTCTGCGACCCAAAACCCTAGGCCCTAAGCCCCAAACCCTAAACTCGAAACCGAGCCTCATTTCCACTACATTATAAACTTTTCCTGAGAAGCTGGAGCCTTCAGAGGAAAGCAAACGACCCTAAACTTGACCTGGTAAAGTTTAAAATAGGGGCCGTAATACTTACGACAAAGAAAGTGAAAGGGCTCGAAAAACGGGTTACTAGAAGGGGTATTTAAGGGGGGTCTTGGTGTAGGGGTCCTAGTACTAAGGCTTTGGGCTCTTAGGTAGTAGGATTGTGATAAACTTGGCGTTCTTCTGGTTGGCTCTTTAGACTTTAACTTTTTTGGGTTTCTATATGAACTATAACAAGGAGGCTAAAAGTTTAACTTTTAGGAGGGGTTCAGAAGTCAGCCAAGTAATGAGCCCGGGGGTCTGATACTTATGGGTAGCTAGCGCTTGGAAACATTTGTTGCCCTCGTTTGGTTATGGAAAACCTCAAGACACAGATGTAATTACAGCAGGGGTGCCAAGTTCACTACTTAGAGGATCATGGGACTTAGTAAGTATGGTTATAAGTACCCCTAATTGGGGATATAAGTAGTTATAAGTATGGTTACCTTATGTATAACCCTAGTTACTAAGTCCCATGACCCTTTAAGTAAACCCTAAACCCTAAACCCTATAGATCCCTTTAAGGAACCCCTATAGATCCCTTTAAAGGGACCCTTAAAGGAACCCTAGTTACCTTAATTTGAAACGCTGTGCGTCGTCCGCCTCGGCCCGGCTGTACGGGCATGCGGCGAGTGGCTAGTATCTGCAGCAAGCTGGTTAGGTCTTCGGTATAACAGACTTTTGGTCTCAGAAACAGACTTTTAACACCAGGAACAGATATTCACGCTCACAAACAAATAAAGGGTTTGAGGGTCTTCGGGTTTAGTGGTTCCGGGGTTTAGGGTTGGGGGTTTTGGGCCCTAAGATGTAGGGGTCTAAGGGTCGAGGCTCAGGGGGTTCAGGGTTTTGGATTTTACGGTTTAGGGCTTTAGGGTATTGGGGTGGAGGGCTCTAGGGTTTTGGGGACTAGGTTGAGGGCTTTAGGGGTTGTGGGGTTTGGGGCCGTTAGGGTTGCGGGTCTGGGGCTTAGGCTCACGTGCGTTGAGGGTTTTAGTACCAAGACTTTCGCAAGCGCGTCTAAAACAAGCCTGAGACGCACATAAACATGCTACATTGCAGTCCCGTGTCGTCGAACACTCCAGAAAGAGGGGGCGGGAGGGGGCGGGAAGAAAACTGGGTGGGACTGCCTACAGACTGCCAAAATCCGTTGGAGGGGGCGAGAATTCACCACCGGACATTGGGACTAGTCGACACGTTTCCATTTTTAAGGGGGGGGGGGGTGAGTGGGCCCGTTTTTGGGGGTGGGGTCACTGGGGAGGGGATTAAGAGGTGGGGAATAGGAGAATCCGAATAGGAACCTCTGACCGCTTCGGCCGGGGCCGAGGCGAATTATAACCCTAGTTACTAAGTCCCATGATCCAGTAAGTATAGGATACGTCAGATGAAGATTAGGGTCTCTAGGCCGCTTAAGCATTCTATGGGGACTATCCCTACCTTATTGGGCTTCCTTTCTTAAAAATCTGTATATGGGATATCCCTAACCTTATTTTTGCTTATGTGCTGTTTTTGGGCCCTAAGGTGGTGTCTGCCTGCTATTCGGGTGACAGAACCTGACGTCGAAGCCTCTCCAGGTCATCACTGCCTCAGGGTGCGGGTCCCTGACATAGGAGTTTCCGAAAATTAGGGGTACCTTAGGGTTCCTTTAAAGAAGGACTATAAGGGTAGTATAAGGGTTCCTTTAAAGGGCTACTATAAGGGTTTTGAGTTTCCGAAAATTAGGGGTACTTTATTTTGGCGTCCCTATATAAAGAGATCCTACTATTTAGGGTACTGTGTTGGGGTCCCCTATTTTCGGAAACTCCCACATCTGTATCTGAGCTTCAAGCTGTTCAGAAGTCGTGGATTTTCTTGAAGCTTTGGATACCCAGAAGTCCTTCTATCGGGAGTTGTCACTTCTACTTTCAGGGATCTACAGTAGAGGTTTTTATCCCACAGGGTTCAACGTGCCAGTCGGAAGAGGATAGCAGCTGTCGTGGGCTACTGTCTCGGAGAGTTTACTATCACTCGGCACTTGGAGCCCTAGGGTATTGTCTGAATCTCGCTTTTGGACCTGATGCCAGAGTATGGTTTTCCTCAGGCAACATCCCTGCTGGTCTTCCCAGATCTTGCAAAATCCTTGCAGTTAGGAGTATACTTTATAGTGAACCCCGGAAAGTTGAAGCATGGATCAAGGATAATTAGTGCTAGGATTCCCTGCGCTTTACCTTAGGACCTGATGACAATGATGTTCCAACTTTCTGGCTTCTACTATAAGTCCTCTTAGGGATCCCATCATACCTTCAAACCCTAAACCCTAAACCGGGTGATGTTGGAAGATCTGGTCTTTTCTTGCTCCACAAGAGTCCCAAGGATTCTGAAAGAAGATAGCTTCTACCAAGGCCCGGAAACACGTAGTTCTGCGGTT